ATGAGTAATATAAGTTGAATATACCTATCGAGTATGATTCGATTATTCACCATGGTTCAAAAGTTATGAGCTGACCAGATAAAGATATTGCCAAAATCAAGGTAACGTTCTGTATCACAGTTATAAAAGATGGTAGACACATCGATGTCTGTACATTTGAATCTGAAACACCCTGTATAGCAAAAAATATATTTTCATGTATACAATACTGTGACATATCCTATATCATATGAGTGATCGAAAGGACCAATAAAGATTATTATTATTATTACTATTATTATTATGAAATTATCTCGAATCGTCGTATTTTCTTCTGGTTTGCTCTTTTCGTATTATTTTCTTCTAAAAAAATACCGTTCTGAACGGAAAGTACGAAAATCAGAAGAAACTATATCTTCATCGGAAAATATTCAACAAACGGTACCTTTGTGATTGTGAAAACATATAAGGTAATGAAGTTGAAAGTAAAGATGGAAATATGAGGAAAATCAGAGAATCTCTATTCACTCACCTGCGTGAAAAATGCGAAGCTTTGATGAAACAACACGAAACACCATAACAGCATACGATCGCGATAATGTAATCACTGAATTGAATGAGGAACACAAAAACACAATACTTGCACTCATTTTCAAATTAACACTCCGTTTAAAACGATAAACAATTCCCTCGACAATTCCTTTCGCGTATTTTTCAATTGCGATCAGAAAAGTCGACCGTACGTGATGACATCTAATATAAGACTGTCTCGATTCACCACCTGGTCTCGAATGCATGACTAATAGGTTGAATCATGGTGCTAACTGATAAATCTATTTATCTATGAATAATGACGATAATGAAATTATACAGATGGAACAGAGATATATAGTATACAAGATATAAGATGAACAATTGAACACGGATATACTGACACTATTATTTTCGAAAGACTAACGATTTGAAAAATTAAACACAGGCTAAAAATATAATTTTCACGAAAATCTTTAGTGATTTGAAAGAATTTAACAGTCAGAAGTAGTGAGAAAATCTAGCAAATTTCTCGACGAGTGTTAAATGCACAAGGAGACATACAGGGTGTTTTAGATTTAAATGTACATTTTGGTTTCGACTGCCAGGCTATAAAATATATAAATATTTATAAATAAGGTTGTGCTGAGTTACTACGTCTAACAGAGAATTTTTCGAGGAATCCAGTGGCGTACACAATTTTTTTAGGAGTTATGATTCTGGAGATACATGTATTTTATTATTTATTTGAATCCGTTATTTGTTTCCATTCAAAATGACGAATAAAACTTTGTACAGGGTATCCCAATTTGGGCACTTTTGCGGGGTATCTCCCTTATCAGTAAAGATAGAGCTTTGCGGTTTTCGCGACAGTGTGCTACTTTTTTATGAAATTAATAATGGCGCAAGCAGAATTGTGGTAGCTCTTCCGGTTGTCTAGATACAGGGTGGAATTGAAAAATATCACCCCCCGTGTCTCAGTTATCTTTGAACTTATCGAAGAAGTTAAAACTTGTTTTTATAGAGTTTTTCTCGTAGAATCCAGTGGCGTAGTTCTTTTTTTGCTAGCACCTTTTGTTTTTTAGTTATGGAGCAAACATATGTTTTTTTAAATGGAAAATAATTGTATACAATTATATATTTTTGGAAAGCCCACTTCATGCTCAATGTATATATGAAATAATATACAGGGTGTTCCATTTAAAAAAACATATGTTTGCTCCATAACTAAAAAACAAAAGGTGCTAGCAAAAAAATAACTACGCCACTGGATTCTACGAGAAAAACTCTATAAAAACAGGTTTTAACTTCTTCGATAAGTTCAAAGATAACTGAGACACGGGGGGTGATATTTTTCAATTCCACCCTGTATCTCGACAACCGGAAGAGCTATCGCAATTCTGCTTGCGCCATTATTAATTTCATAAAAAAGTAGCACACTGTCGCGAAAACCGCAATGCTCTATCTTTACTGATAAGGGAGATACCCCGCAAAAGTGCCCAAATTGGGATACCCTGTACATGGGATTTCCAGAAATCCTAAAAAGCACTAAAACATCAGACCATGATGAATTTTCGCTATAGTGGGCCATGGATTTTCCAAGTTTTACTTTAACGATTATTATGTCTGATTTACTATACAGGGTATGTCACGACGAGCTTACACTATTTCTATATCAAGAATCAGTCGGGAGAAATTCATGAAAATATGCATGCTCATATTTTAGAATATGCTCTCTTCATTTGAAATATTTTCAGCAATGCATTGTTTCCGCTTATATCATAAAGTAGCAACAGCTTTTTTATTCCTAATAGAATACCCTGTATTTTATTGCATTCTTAGATTTTCCCTGAAGAGCTGATTTAATCGATGCATCACACTTGGAGTCTATCGGAAATGATTACAGAAATATAGGGTGTTAAAAATCGAGATTTTTCAACTTGTGGATTTGTTTGTTTCGAAATTATTCATTATCGGCCAAAACGGGTCACATGGCCCTAATCATTTTTGATAGACCCCAAGTGTGATATATTGATGAAATCAGCTTTTCAGGGAGAATCCATGAAAATGCGATGGAATGCAGAGTATTCCATTTGAAATATCAATGTCGCTACTACTTACTAGTAGAAGAGGCAACACTGCATTGTCGAAAATATTTTGAATTAAGAGAGCGTATTCTGAAATATAAGCATGCACATTTTCAAGGATTTCTTCCGACTGATTCTCGATATAAAGATGGTGTAAGCTTGTCGTGACATACCATGTATATTATATTGATTATAAAAGATAGAAGACACATCGATAGAGAGTGATTGGATTCACCAAAGTTTTCTTCATCTACAGGTATAGTATGTACATTTAAATCTGAAACACCCTGTATAGGGAAAAGGTATTTTTCCATGAACAAATTTCGAATTGTCTTATTTTCTTCTGGTTTGCTTGTTTCGAATTATTATCTTGAAAGTATTCAACGAACAGACGTTTCATATTTTGAAAACATATAAGCTAATTGAGTTAAATATAAACAGGAAAATATGAGGAAAAACAGAGAATCTCTATTCACTCACCAGCGTGAAAAATGCGAAGCTTTGATGAAACAACACGAAACACTGAATTATGAGGAACACTAAAACACAATACTTGCACTCATTTTCAAGTGAACACTCCGTTTGGAACGATAAATAATTCCTTTCGCGTATTTTTCAATTTTTTTTTATCGCTTGGAGCGCGCGATCACAAAATTCGACTGTACGTGATGACGTCTAATATAAGACTTTCTTGATTCACCACCTGGTCTCGAATAAATGACTAATAGGTTGAGTCATGCTACTAACCGATTAATTTCCGAACAAATGATTTATCTATGACCATGATGAAAATTCCACCTTTGATCTACCAGTATACTTTTCCCCTCAGTGCTCATGTATACTGTTTTTCCCTGAATTATTCCACAAGATACCTTGATAAAAATTAACAACTATGAATGAATTTGAAATCCAGGACTTTCATTCATGTAAAAACAAATTAACAATAAGGAAAAGTATGTATCTACCTGCTATGTAAGAGGTACCTAGGTCATACTTGTACCTATTTTAAAAGGAATCAATGAAGATTATGAAGTGAAACTTCTCTCAGATAGGCACTACAAATAAGCGTCAATTATCAGTAATGAATATATCTATGAATCACAAATTTACCTTATTGTTTTCATTATTGGACCAATAAAGTGAAGAAAGGTAGTGAGTTTTTGTTAGAGCTGCCAGCATCCAGTTTTCAAATTCATATTCGATTCTCAACGTTTATCCATTTCTTCCATTCAACAGAACTGATTTTTTATCATCAGAAAAGACTTCTTAAGTGCAGGTAATTCATTTTAAAAGACATTATAGGTCCTACATTTTTCCATTGGAACCTTCTACTATTTTATTTTGTTGTGAGAGATATAATTCCCATATCACTGATAAACTTGAAACTTCTGTGAGTTGGAATGTTTATTCCTTCATATTTGCTCAAAAGGGCTTCCCTGGGGCTGCAGCTATAAGTATGTTGTGGTGGTATGAAATATCTCCTGGTTTTGGTATGGAATGTATGATGGATCTGAGGCACAAGCTGAGTCCAGAGCTGAGTGAAGTGTAAACATGCGCCAGTATACAGATTAGCACAGCGCTTTTGGTCAGTTTTTGTGCTGAGATTGTCCATTGCCATTGCAAATATATCAGCTTCTTTCTAATTCACCGATAGTTGAAATGGTTGGGTCATTTTGATATCCTACTGAATGTCATAGGATTCTGAAGGCTTCTTCGTAGCTGTAGCACTATCCGTAAGACAGTATTATTTCAATCACACACACGATGATAACTTCGAGAATTAACACAATTAACACGATCTAATAGCAGGAATAAAATGTATGCAAAACACACAAAATATGTAAACAAAGTGCCCTGATAACGCCGCCATCTTGTTTTTGATACAGTGCCCTCAACGGTCGATCACCTTGCCAATAGCCGCAAGAGTCTCTTGCGATGTTACTATCCAAAAGCCCTATATGTACCGATTCGATAAACAACCTGTATAGTTCCCATAGTTTAAATCACCATTCTACAAATACACAGAAAATAAGAATTCACTGTTTAGGAAATAGGACTTGACAGTTGTTTGCAGAACATATAAGATTTCGTTTCTAGCTAACTTACGAGGCATCTTACTTACGAGCGAGCGATTCGAATATAAAACAGGGTCGCTGGAATCTCGTAAACCGTGAGAGATACAGGCTTGATCTGTTATTATGATCATAATTTCAGATATTCTTTTTTTTAGTCAACTTACAGTGGCTGTATCTTGGAGGGGGTGCATTCTAAGACACAATCATGTTTAGAAAAAGAATAAGTCTTATTTATATACCTAGGGAAGGAAGATAACGTCGTACGGCATCGATGCCACTGAACGTGTTATTTTTTATAGTTTTTCCATTTATCCTGATTTTTTTTCAGGTATCAAGCGAAGTCGCACTTCGAGGACGACTTTTCGCCGGGCGACAAGTCCGAACAACCGCCGCAAGAGGGCGCTGGTATATCGAGCATCGAGGAGGAAGTCGATAGGGAGAACGAGGACGAATTCGGGGCCAGTAATTTCGAAAATGCAGCGAACGGAAGAAGGAAGATTCTTTCGAAGAACAGGCTGTCGCTGCGGACGGACGTTGGCTTGAAGAAGTCCGATTCGGTTAATATTTTCGCTAGGGAGGATGATCCTTTTGATGATGATTTTTTTTGCGGGGAGGAAATGGGGCCAGAACGGAAATCGCCCAGGAGTACGGAACTGAGATGGACTGACGATTTTGAAAATTAATATTTATAGGAGGAAGTAGGTAATTTATTAATTTATTGATTTTTATGCGTGATCTAAGCGGCAGTTTGGAGATAATTTGTGAATAATAGTTTTTAGGACAGTGAGTGATAACCGTGTTGATATTATTTTATATTTTAGATATTGTTTCAGACTGCCTTTTATTGTCTCAAATTCTAATGATATTGTTATTATGTTGTTAAGACATTTTAGATATACTCATTTTTAATTTAATAATTTATATGTGTAATTATACATTTCAAGTGTGACCATATTTTAAAAATATATTGGAAATTTCTTAAAGCAAATTTCATTTGCAGGAGAAAATGGAACATGAATTTGTTTACTTCCGTGCTGAGCCAAAATTTTTACGTTTCATGTCGTTATTTGCAAAAGCTATCTTGCTTTGTGAGTCACTGAATCACTAGCTCTCTCTCTCTATCTTTACTGAATTGAATTATCGATCGAAAATAATTACCTTCCTTGTTTTTGGTATCACTTTTCATCCTGAATCAGAAGAGTTGATATTAAAATATTATATGTACCTATTTTCCAGTAAGGATTTTTGTTTTCATTAGAACTATGCACTTTTTGAGGAACTTACATGGACTTATCTCGTTTTTGGATACCCAATTCCGTTTCATTGATTACTTCTTGGAAAGTATTTTCAATTTTTCTGTGCGATAATTAATATATGTACGCATTTCTATCCAGGCCCCTCTTCCCCACTGGGCACAATGGGCACGTGCCCAGGGCCCCGCGAGGATTGGGGCCCCCTAGTCCCGATATAGCTACTCTATACTCTCGCCTGAAAATCAGGCTTACCGAATGCAGCATGCATGTTTAATAAATTTCAATATAATTTTTCATTTCAATTGCCTCTCGCAATAATAATTGACTTGAAAAAAAGTGAAGAAAAAAATAAGTGGAAAACCTTTCCTAATGTGGAAATCGCACTGAGAATCTTTAACTGCAGTGGGGAACGCTCCTTCTCCAAATTAAATCGAATGAAAAGTGAATTAAGAAGTACATTGCTTCAAGAGAGATTGAATAGATTTTGAAGATGTTATTAACGATTTTGCTCAACTCAAATCTAGAAGGATACCTCTTCAATCAGCATAGATACTTATATATAAGGAGTATAAGGACTAATCGTGGATGCTGGTTACTTAGTGTGGATTTCATGATATGATCTATTCATCATATCTAATGTAATAACTGTGAAGATATAAAAATAATGCTAAAACTCTGCATTTACATGTTATTTGTATATTCAAACAAAATAGTTCTTTATTATGGTCGTATAGGGGCCCCATTATTCTAATGTGCCCAGGGCCTCTAATAGGTGGAAGACGGTCCTGTTTCTATCACTCTAACACATAAATAGTACTTGTAGCGTAGCCTCGTGGATGAAGCGTCAGTTTTCTATCCTCGTTGGATTGCCGGTAGGTGGGTTATTCGTCGATTCCCACCACGACCGAACCAATATATTGAGTTCATTGCGTGAGTCTTGCACTGAACTGAACCCACCAAAGTTCTCTAATCAATTCTGATTTCTGACCAAAGATAACTATCCATTTGAAGAGCATGAAGGTGACGGGTGTGCCAAGATGATAAGAAGAGAAAAGAGAAGAAGTAAATAATAACATAACCTAAAAAATTTCACATGATGTTATGAAGTTATGAAATATTTTTAAATTTTATTTTATTCTATATTTTGCAATGAAGCTTGAATCGAAACGTATTTTCATAAGTGATTTACCAGAAACAGCTACTCAGGAAGAATTACAAAATGCATTCAGAGATTATGGAAATGTTAAATCCATTGAAATCAAAGAGCGAAAAGAACTGGGACCAAAGAACAGCTCCTTATTCTTTTCCTATGTTAATTTGGAAACAGATGATAGACAACTACAGAAATGTGAGTTGAATTATCTGGTATAGTCAAATAGTTGATTGAGCTTTGAGTGTTAAAACCAGTAGTTTACAGGTTTCCAGGATTTTGAAAATGGAAAGCTACATGGAGAGTATCTCACATTACAAGTAGCCAGAGAAAGTTTCTTAGATCGTTTGAAGAGAGAAAGAGAAGCTAATTCTGGTGGAACAAAAACAATTAATTCAAGTAAACCTGTAGAAGTACTGCAGCAACCTGTGCTTACAAGAAATCAAGTAAATGGAGCTAAAATAGTTAGAAAGTCATCTTCAGAAAGTAGTTCATCATCTGAGGATGATGAACTGCAGAAAAAGTCAATAGCTGAAAATAAATCTCTTAAGATTTCAAAAGAAGAGGTCAAATTTGAAGAAAGTGAAGAAAGGATTGATATCATAATTAAAAATAACAAAGGGAAGTTTCAAGATAGAAATGCCCTAAAAATTGAATCTGTTGGGAATGAACCCATAATAAGAATTGACCTATCAAAAAAAAAAGTAACTAACTCTAACTCAGAGGCAAATCTAAAAAGATTGGAGTCCCTCAAGAATCTGAAGAAGGGTTATAGAAATCAAAAATCATTGATACAAGCAGCTTTATCAAATGTAGATAATAAAGCCAGCAACAAAATTATTTTCCATGATGATAATAAAGAAAAATCTTCAACAAGACTGAATGAGAATAATACAAATTTAAATAATGATCTATTTGATGGGAATGACTCAGGGGATGATTATGAAGCAAATTTTGATGTTCGTGAAGAATTTCAAACTGAAGAGGGTCAAAAGGTACATATTCAATTTTTTTTTCATAAATTTTGAACTGGTATTGCAATATGGCATTGATTTCACAAAAATATCTGTGGGTTTTTAGTTATTGCAGCTTGAATCTAGGTATAAAAATGACAAAAGATTTGCATTAGATTCAAGATTTTTGAATGAGCAAGAAGAAACTGAAAGACAGGTTGATGGGGAAGATGATGAAATAACATTGGAAGAAGAGAAAAAGAAAGAATATGAAATACTGGAACAAGTTTTAGGAAAGAAAATAAATCCAAAGCCAAAACTTATTGAAAAAGATGGGTAGGTATCTACAGATAAAATTCAATGCATTTTTAAGTTTTCTATGAAATTTTGTTTCAGCCAAAGAAAAACTATGTTGAGATTTGATCCAACTCAACCAGAACATTCTAAATATGAAATCCCAAAACCAGAAAAAAAGGAAAAAAGAAAACGAAAAAATTCTGAAAATGACATCTTGAATGAAAAAAAGCAAGAAGAAAAAGATATGCCAGAAGTTTCCAAAGAAGTATTCTATAAAGTAACAAATGATTTGAAAGAGACATTAGAGGAAAAGAAGGAATTTAGTTTGCTGAGTATGTTTGGTCACACAGAAGAAACTGGTAAGCTTGAAAAAAATTAACCCAAATATTTGAACTACAGTTAATTCATTTTTTCTGTGACAGGAAAAAAGTTTTAATCACTTTTCATGAATTACTTTGGTGTTTTGCCTCCCTTTGGTATGCTTGGGCAGACAACACAACCTGGAGCTAAAATCTACTACTTCTTTTCCTTGTATAATAAATAATTATTTTATTTTTAGAAAAGGAAAAACAGCCACCAGAGGCAACAAAAATACTTAGTAACAACTTTGCATCTGAAAAAAACCCATTCAGATATGACTCATCAGATGATGAAGATGAAAAAGAGGATGTTCCTGATAAAAATGACATGAATCAGATAGAAACTGCAGAAACTGCACAATCATCAAAAAATAATAGAGTTATTTCTTGGACTGATCCATTTTTCTTTAGAAATGATGACTACAGACTACAAGGTATTCATGGCCTTTTTAATCAAACTTTTGTAATGAAATTGAAGTTTATACACATACAAAATTTAGAGTATAAAATAAATTCCTTATACAAAGCTGCACTCATTACTCATAGAATTCAAGCAAAAAAGGCTACTCCAATCACTTAATTTGTTTTCAGAGGGATTCGATTTTGTGGAAAAAATGAAACTGGAGGAGAAAACAGAGTTCTCAAAATTAAGAAGGCATCTCAAGGAAATTGTTAAAGCAAAGGTTAGGAATAATCAGAAAAAGAAACAACCATTTAAAAAGAAGTTGGGTGGCAGTAAAAGGAAAAAAGTTATGAGATTGAAGAAAGCTATGAAAAGATGATTTTATGCATGTATGGGTGATAATTATTTTTGATTGATTCCATGTCAGGGTTAATAGTATGTATACAATATAGTCTTTTATATAATTGAAATTTTGAAATGTTCACCTCCTCACAAAAAGCAATGCAAAGAGCATATGTCTTAACTTATTATTTATTTATTCATTTATCAAACAAATAACTTCCAGACACAATAGGATCTGGTATGAGGATATGAACGTATAATTAAGAACAAATGAACAATATAACATGACTCATTTTAACCAATTCATTCATAAATAATCAGCACTGTTTATCAAGCTCTGGATGTAACTAGAGTCCCTGTATATACCTTAGACAAGAGTCCGGACACAGCTATACTTCTGTCCTTTTCTGTTTTCAAAAAATGCATTAATGATTGAATAAAGGAATAAGACATATATTTCGAGCTCTGTCTTTTCAATTCCCCTAGTATCAATTAGAGTCCCTGTATGTATTTGACACTTTTGCTGTAATAAGAGTACGGACACTATGACAAGCAGTGACAGAAGGCATAACCCTAAAAAATTTGAAATGACATGAACAATTTGGCGGGCACTGACAGTTCATGAACGTACATGACATTAAATTATTTGAAAATTCAGGTTTTCAAAAATTAAAATGTCATTTACATTCTGCCCATCAGAACTGGCTACTAAATCCTGGCTTTATCTATTGAAAAACTAGTGCATCCTAAAATCAAATAAATTGAAGTACATATACCCTTTGTTAAGTATATCGAGAAATACTTTCAACAAATTGATTCACAAACTATGACCCCTTTTCGCCAGTGAGATGAGACGCCACTTCTTTATGAAAATAAAGACAGAGAAAGATATATGGATGTACCCTTCACCGCGGCAGTAGAGGATAGAAGATCCGAAGTGCATGGAATAGCATATTCATGTCTTTGTTCAAAAGTCATTTTGAGAATTTGGGGTTATGCCTTCCGTCACTGCTTGTCATAGTGTCCGTACTCTTATTACAACAAAACTGACAAATATATACAGGGAATTATACATACAGGGACTCTAGTATCAATGATTGTCAGAAACAATTTTGAGGGTTAGATTATTTGTCAAAACGATCATAGCCGTAGGTAGAAGTGAGAAATAGGGCTATTTTAACTAGAATAACTATTAAATTTTCAAATAATGAACAACAGGGTGTTCAAATTTCGAATCGATAATTTCCATAATAAATTCCTGAGATGGCTATCGCAAATTTTCGTCATCAGATATTTCTTAACTTTATTAGATATAAGGAAGATAATTTAAGTGTTCTACGTGGTATCACATATAGCCAAGAAAATATAGTTGTTTTCTGTTGGGATATAAAAAAATAAAAGGTATATAATTGTTTCAATATAATTTTCTCCGATTCTCTCAATTAAATAACACTCATCAGAAATAAAAGTGACAAAATCAAAACAACAATATATTTGATAGCGAGTCCTTTATTGATTGTGTGGGTTTCCCACCTCTTCCTGCAGTTTACATTCACCTGTAAATTTTGAATTTGATCTGAATTAAAAACACCGTGGACTGATGACATAGCACATTGCAGTTTCTCTAAACCTTCTAGTTTTTATTTCAAACTCAATTTCTTTCCGCATCATATCATTCTCATTTTCTTCTCTGTGATCGTATCATTCAGTAATTCCCGATACGATGACGACGGGACTCTTTTTTTGAACGTCTCTATTCCATAAATTAACGGTACAGCAGACTCTTTCAATTTGAAATCCATCAGCTTGAAAGAATCTCTATCAAAATGGGCCTCATATTCTTCTTTTTTGTACTGTTTTTACAAGAAAATTTTAATATTCTAAGGTATATACAGGGACTCTAGATGTAACTAAGGTGTCTGTACTAACGCATTACAATGGGTGTATACACCTTAGTAGAACTTCCAACTCAAACCATGTTTATAATGATCCTTTTACGAAAAATTAACTGGAATGTTTAATTTTTGGACATAAATAATAGTACCTTCTGAAAACGGACCCTCTCATGACGAAGAAACCTCATCTCGCCATAGTTAAAAGAAAATACGAAACGCCCCACGGAGAGAGGCAACTGTGATCTCGTGCTAATTCACTCTGTCAGAAATCATGTATCATTCATCTTTATCTGGAATAGTCTTGTCGTTTCAGTATTAGGGTTTTGACGTCACATCATCGCCTCCTTTTCAGAGGTCTGAAAAATCGGGGATTTCAATAATTTTTTATAAAACTTGGGGAAATAACATTTTTTTGTGATATAAGCCCCTTGTACACAAGGTGCTGAATGGGTTAAGCTTTTTGCACAAGGTGCTAATGGGTCAAGGTAGTCAAGGAGACTATTGCGTGCAAGAACTGTCAGATGACCGACCCTGGAGGTGAAACATTGGAAAAACCTCACTTTTCTTATTTGTTTACAAGTGATTGAAATAGTTTTTCGGAATTATTTTGGCATAGGGATCGTGTTTTTTGGCTATTCATTGAATCGCGCATGCATCATATTGTGCTCATGTGCTGTTGTACCAGGTGATTCAATAACTGTGACGAAGTACAGTATCTCAGGAACTAATAGTTGATTGAACACGCATCCTAGCGAGGGCGGTAAGAACCAGAATGGTATGTATGGATCTTCATTTCATTCACCAAACCTTCCTTCCTCGAACCATACCTTTTTTTAGCAATTTATTAGTTCCTGAGATACAGCTTCTCGGTTACCCTTATTGAATCACCTGGTACAATGCACAAAAAATGCAGCGGGAGACGAAGGAATCCGCCGGTTGGTGTTGGTACATTATGATTTGAAATACACAAATTTGAACCCAAATTTCGAATCAGCGAACATGAAATTATTAGCTTCACTCACCATTGCCAATTGGAGTCTTGTCGATGATTCTTCCGACTGGGCCCAGTTCACAGCTTCCAATATTTGTTTCAGACTCACAATTAGTCCAAACACATTAGAAAATAGTGCGATTGACTATGCACCACATTTCCAAATTACTGGAAAGTTTATTAGAAGTTTTATCGCCACACACTAATCACACGATAGATCGCTTCTGTTCACCTACCACTAAATGCAGACACCTCTAGAATTCTTATACACGAATTATTGTTCTAAGAATTGGCGCGCGAATTGTGCGGTAGTCCTTTCTATTGGTTCACGTGACCAATAACAACAACAAACGGAGGGAAGCATGTTTTCAAGTGTGCTGATTTTGCCGCGAATATTCAAAATTGAATTCAGAATTAAGAATACGAAACATATACATTTTCAATCCAGTACTAGCTTCTATTGCAAAAGTGGGTGAATTAATTTTAATAAGAGAAGACAAAATTTCATGATAGAAACCATGTGAGATTACTATTTACCTGAAAAATCATATTCCTTCGTCTCTCGCTGCATTTTTTGTGCATTGTACAACACCACAATGAGAAGGCATGCTTGAATTAATGAGTAGCGCAAAAAAACACGATCCGTATGCCCAAATATTGTGAAAAACTATTTCAATCCTTTGATTCCTCTGTTAACAAATGACAAAAGTGAGGTTGTGTTTCAATTAAGTTTCAATGTTTCAATATTTCACCTCCAGGGTCGGTCATAGTGCACGCGACATATAAAATTCCAATGAAAATCTTCATCTATTTTTAATTGCATGTTTGTATTGATTTGTAGATATTCTGAATATATTTCTGTATATTCCAATCTTTGTGATTAGAAAATAATGAAACAAAATATAAGAATAGAATATATTTATTCCTATTTGATATATTTCTGACAATTTACTGGAAAAGTAATTGAAAATTCCACTTCTAGAATAAAATGCCTTGTCTAAAAACAAAACCACATCTCATTACCTTATATTTATTTTCAGATTTTACTCAAAAAATAACTGAAAATTCTGCCTCAACAGCAAAATAAATTACCTAATCTAACTGAAAAGTTTTAGTCATCGTCTTATTATTGAACAAATCCATAGTAATAGCGCTGAGAAACACGGGAATGGACTTCTGATGCTTCAAATGCAGATTAATCATGCTCTCCAAAGTGGCGCTGAACTCGTTCTCCAACAAATTCAAGTCCCCATCTTTGTCCACCTGGAAGCACAGCTGATCGTCCGGCTGTTCGGCATACATGCTCCTCAATTTGTACAAAGAATTCTGCGTCCTGTCGATTTTGTAGCCCAGCAGCATGTAGATGACGTTCCGGAAGTCCTGCATTTGCGACTTGAAAAACTCCTTGAGCATTTGCGCCTGCGTCTCGTGCGATTTGATCTCCTCCTTCAAGGTCTGCACTTCTTTGGCGGTCATCGTGATATCGCCCAGCTTGCTGCTCTCGATACCTTTAAACCATTATTATAAAATTATGCATAACCCTTGATTTAAGTCAAAAATTCTATTCAGTAGGTTGCAGTAGAGTTCCTAAATGTACAGGGTATCCCAATTTGGGCACTTTTGCGGGGTATCTCCCTTATCAGTAAAGATAGAGCATTGCGGTTTTCGCGACAGTGTGCTACTTTTTTATGAAATTAATAATGGCGCAAGCAGAATTGTGATAGCTCTTCCGGTTGTCGAGATACAGGGTGGAATTGAAAAATATCACTTTTCAGGCACCCTCCGTGTCTCAGTTATCTTTGAACTTATCGAAGAAGTTAAAACTTGTTTTTATAGAGTTTTTCTCGTAGAATCCAGTGGCGTAGTTATTTTTCTGCTAGCACCTTTTGTGTTTTAGTTATGGAGCAAACATATGTTTTTTTAAATGGAACACCCTGTATATTATTTCATATATACATTGAGCATGAAGTGGGCTTTCCAAACATATATAATTGTATACAATTATTTTCCATTTAAAAAAACATATGTTTGCTCCATAACTAAAAAACAAAAGGTGCTAGCAAAAAAATAACTACGCCACTGGATTCTACGAGAAAAACTCTATAAAAACAAGTTTTAACTTCTTCGATAAGTTCAAAGATAACTGAGACACGGGGGGTGATATTTTTCAATTCCACCCTGTATCTAGACAACCGGAAGAGCTACCACAATTCTGCTTGCGCCATTATTAATTTCATAAAAAAGTAGCACACTGTCGCGAAAACCGCAATGCTCTATCTTTACTGATAAGGGAGATACCCCGCAAAAGTGCCCAAATTGGGATACCCTGTACTTGACACTGCTGTTCTGACGTTTTTTGCATATTTAGGCTATATTCCGAATTCAACTGGTCAGTACTGTCAGTAAATCCACCGACTCTGCTGAAAATCTGTGTTCCGAAATATAAAATCAAAAATACACTGCTGTAATTCGGAACACGTTTTCATGGTAGTCAGCAGCAGTTTATCTGAACTAGATATTTAGCCTCCTGCTTGATTTAAATTTTGGAAATTTTATATTTAATATGGCATAGCAATCGATTCTTGTAGCCTCCATATTTGTTACGATTGTTGACGATGACTATTCAAGCTCGAGTGATCAAGAAAATTTGGACATTTTGTTGCCAATAATTTTTCATGATGCACCAGATTGAGACTTGAAAGATTCATGCAAAAAGTAATATGGAATTAATGATGATGAATTTAGGAGACACTTCAGGTTCATTCAGTTATTTATTTAGCCAATCCTGCTTCTTCTTTTGTTGCCTCTACTACTTCATACTCCATATTATTCTCAGCGTTCATTATTTCAGTTACAGGTATTTTCTGATATCGAGAATAATATTATCAACAACGGAAATGAATGTTAAATTCCTTTCCTCCCTAAAATAATGACAGTCCACTGAAGCCACACTACCATTTGATACTCAGCAATCTCAGCAGAATGTTGAGTCGAAATATTTGGAATGAATAATTTCGAATTTCGGAATGAAAAATCAGCAGATTCAGTACTGTCAGTTGAATTCGGAATATAGCCTTAGAGTACGGACACTATGACAAGCACTGACAATCAGACATAACCACAAATAAATTGATGGAAAAAGAAGCGGGAACTGACAGTACACGGACGTACATGACATAAATATCAAAGGTTTGACAAATTGAGAGAATTAGGAGAAAGATGCAAGTTTGTGCAGTTTCCAACTGTGAAAATATGGAAAATCAATTCACTCTATTCGAATTTCCATCGGATAACGTAATTCTACAAAAATGGAAACAGAATATGATGCGGCCGGCATGGAATGTAGGTTCAGGCCACAAAGTTTGCGAGGTATTCAAATTTCTTGGTAGGATATAGAACATTTTTCAAAACATTTTCATCAGGTACACTTCAGAACGGAAGATTTGATGTTGCAGAATAGGATCGTATTGAGGGAAAGAGCCGAACCCACAATTTATAAACTGAGCGAGTATCGAAAAGAACCTTATTCCAATTTAGAACCCACAAGAAACGAATAACTTGCAGATGATGATATTCATTTCGAACATATTTTGAAAGAAAAATACTTGAGAATGATCTTCCGATGGCCGGGTTCAAAACGCTGTTCAAACCAACAATCCCCTTTAGCAATGTGAACGGCGATCTATAGTCAGTCGAGCGCTGAAGTACATTTATACCTACTTCCGTATGTCTTGGAGAACCTTTATTATTCATCCTAACTGAAATCAGCTGCTATTGTTGCCATATCATTTGTTCATTTATTAATAACTTATTACCTACCACTCTTGTACTAGTGAAACTGTTCCATACGAAATAAAAGTATGTTTCATTGATTGAAATTTATCAGTTTTTACCCCATTCAACAACTAAGAACGGCTGTCATATCTATCATTCTTCCAACTTTGATAGTTAATATCTTCCGTTTCGTCGGTCTGTTGAGATTTAGTTCCTCTATTACATCGTGTAATGATATGCATACCATTAGATTTATTCTATCTCAAACTTGTATCATTATTCGTTGCTGAGATATGGCCGACAGCCGTTTTTTGTTGTTCTTCCGCTACGTACCAACTTGATATCGACCTCCATTGAGGTCCTTCAGCCTTATCATTCAATATTTCGAGAAGAATTTTCTAATCACTTCATTATACCCTTTTACCCACTTCAGGAGACGCTATGCACTCTCATACAAAATTCAAAGACAGATAAAGATATATGGATGTACCCTTCCCAGAAGGATGGAAGATGCCAGGATCCTTCATCTTATCGAAAAACATATTCTTGTCCTTGTCTGACAAAATATATGATTTGCTTCAAAATCGTTTGTGGTTATGTTTGATTGTCACTGCTTGTCTAGTGTCCGTACTCTAATATACAAAGAAAGTCAAAACTGCAGTGTCAAGTACATTTAGGAACTCTAGGTTGCAGTATCCATGAGCGATAAAATGAACTAATTTTTGATTCTTGACTAGGGAAGGGTAAAGATCGGTACAGCAGAATATACAGGCTGATTCATGGTGGATGGCACATTAGACGTTTTTAGAGAACGCAACTCAGGATTATTCTGAAAAGTTTGTGCCTTGGATAATTAGTTGTGTTTTATCGACCTGAAATATTCTCAGTGTTGCGACGTTGCCGCTTATATTGAAAAGTAGCAACAACTTTGATTTTTTAAATGGGACACTTTGTATATTATTCCATTTTCAGATTCTCCATGAAGAGCTGGTTCTATTGAACCATAACACTTGGGGTCTAGCAGTAATAAATACAGAGTTGAAGGATGTGAAAAATCGAGATTTTTCAACTTTAGGAATTTTTTGTGTCCAAACTATTCATAATTGGTCGTAGATTTCCATGTCCCGATCATAACTTTTTACGTACTATCAATTGATATTTGATTGAGATAGATACAGGGTGGTCAAAAATCTTGATTATGAACCACCCTGTATTTATTTCAATTAAATATCAATTGATAGTGAATAAAATGTTGGGTTTGGGACATGAAAACCGTTTTCACCAATTATGATAGTTTGGACACAAAAAATTCCTAAAGTTGAAAAATGTCGATTTTTCACATCCTACAACACTTTAATTATTACTGCTAGACCCCAAGTGTTATTGGTCAATGAAAATGGATTAATAGACAGGGTGTCCCATTTAAAAAATCATCACAAGTTGTTGCTACTTTTCAATATAAGCAACGTCGCAATACTGAGAATATTTTAGGTCCATAGAACACAACTAATTATCCAAGGCACCAACTTTTCAGAATAATCCTGAGTTGCGTTCTCCAGAAACGTCTCATGTGCCATCCACCGTGAATCACCCTGTATATGAAGTTCATTTTTAGATGCAAGAAGGAATATCGCATATAAATCCGAAATTGGTATTACATCCACTGGGGTGCCACAAGGAAGTATGGTTGGACCTCTATTGATTATCATCTTTATGAATGACTTAGATAACTTGTAATTTCAATATTCCAAGTAAGATTAACAGTGACTGAGAAAAGCCAATGGTACATAGTGATAAAACTTTTCAATCCACCCAACACAATAAATATCAAAAATAAATCTGGATCCAATAAGATCTTATTTCTTGTCTAATAAGACTTCAGCATTTTCAACAAGAAAATGTATTTTCTTCATTTTTCCAATTGGATTAATATCATAGCAGTACCCTTTTTTAATTTTTCAACTTCAAATAATATGTACTAGTAATTTTTCATTTTTGTATCAATAAACTGTATGTGAACATATTTTTTTCTTCCAAAACAGTACTCTCATGTACCTGAATGCTGATGATGAAGCTTTGAAGCTTCAAAACATGTCCGTGAATTGCTAAGATTAAAGTATAATTTTGGTATAGTATACAGTATTAATTTGGTCCTGTCCTATGTTATTTATTCAGTTCCATGTTCTCATTTTGTATTAATTGAAACAAAATGATCTCCAAATAAAAACTATATCAAGAGCAAGCAAAAGTGTCACAAGGTGTCACTATTCATTTCTCTTTCGTGGGAACCAAGAACATAAAAAAAAATTGGAATTAGTATTTCAATATATAAACTTAATAGTGAAACAAACTCATATGATAATAAAAATGCAAAATGGCGCCCGTTAGGGGGGGAGGCCTCCTTATAGAACACGTGATTATACCAATAATAACTGTAACAATGAAAACATTTTGAAAATGTAGTATTCATTTATTTATCTATTTACCTTCCTCCATGTTCTTTATCTTCCTCTTCAATCTTTCCACTTCTTGCTCGAGTTTTTCAGTGTGCTGTTCTCTCTTTGACAGATAGTCTGATAAGGGATTGTTCTGCATGTGTACTGCTTTGCCCCCTTGCAAGGTGTCATCTCCGATGGCACACGATTCCAGTTGAATTTCCAGTTCGTCTCGTCTCTCGCGGAGCATTTCGTTTTCGTTTTTCAGCTGTTGGATTTCATCTTGGAGTCTGGTTATTTGTTCGGATCTTATGGAAACCATATCTGAAATAATAAGGGAGAGGTTTTTCGGATTCCTTATATTCAGAGATGTCCCGTTAGAACATAAGGAAACATGATTAAGAACTAAATATTTATTATTTATAATGGGCCAGTGGACTTCTGATGAATTATTATTATTATCTTTATTATTCCCAAGAAACATATATGTTTATAGCAGGGAAAATTATGAAAGAGCAACTTAAAAAAACAAAAATTAGATAATCAGATAATCATTTTTAAATCATATACATTATACATATAATGTTGTTTCTTCTAGAGACTGTTGAATATAATTTCTTGAATTGATTTAGGATGATATAAAGAGAATCAAAGACAAGTATTTTTTCAGTTCTTTTTTGAATTTCTCAACACTTAATTTCCTCCTTAGTCTGGCAGGTAATTCATTATAGAGAATTTATTGTTCCATTGTATAAAATAGATCTTTTACCCATATCCGATTTAATTTTGATGAGAGTTAACATATCTTTTTGTCTGGTTATGTGTTCGTGTTTATGACTATTGACTTCAAAATTCAGATTTGAATGTTTATAATTATATTTGACGGAATGGATGAAATTCAATATTTTGAATTTGTAAATGGAGTTTATATCTAACAATTGCCTAGGTTTATAAAGATTTCTTGTTGGTTCCAAGTAATCTAGTTTGTATATACATTTAATAACTTTGTTTTGAAGGATTTTGATTGGCTTCATGATTGATAATCTAGCTGTACCCCAAACTGAAATCAGGTATTGTAATTTTGAATAAATCAAGGAAAAATATATACATTTCAAGTATTTCAAAGTGATTTGGTGTCTGATCCTGTAGAGTACTCCGATTACTGGAGATATTTTCTTTCTGATCGATTCAATATGTTTGGACCATGACAAATGTTCATCAAGGAATATCCCAAGGAAAATGATGGCTGTGGAATATTTGATGATTTCATTATTAAATTTGATATCAAATTTCAGTTCACTTGACATTCAATTACTCCACTGTGTAGTTAGGGACCTAATTTAATTATTGCAACACATCTCACGCTTTGTTTATGTAAATAATGAGTCTATGTGTTGTTCAAAATTGTTGAATTTCAGAGCTCATTTCAAACGAACCTTCATGGCCGCCATTTGGCGATACGTCGAATAAATGGTGAAGTCAGATTTTATGCCTGTTTCATTATTGGTCAGATAATCTTCCATTCCCACTCACGAAGCAATGTTGTCAAGTCATTTGTCAATTATAATCAAGTTATCAAAAAGATGTTAGAGTCCTGTCGGTGACTAGAACTTATTAGGAGGAACTCGGGAGGAACACATGATATTATAGTTCATTCTTCTGATCAGTCATGTGAAGTCGACGTGAACAGTCAATCAGCTGATCGTCAACACTATTAACCGAATTTACAGTGTTTCGAGTGCTATTTTAATAAATCAACAAGAAACAACGTGTGAAGCAAGTAAGTGGGTAGTACCCCAACTAGTCGATCGTTTGATTACACATCGCATTTGGTGATAGTTGCATTCAAAACAACTGCATTTTTGTGTGAGGATAGTGTGGATCCGAACCATCTTAGGCAGAAACCAATTTTCATTCCGTCAACCAACACATCTGTCCTATTTATCTCATACATCAGAAGCCTGCAGATTCCTGCTCCCTACAGTCTGATATACCTCTAGTTCCAGCAACTGCTCGAAGATGGCACCATGTAAGAAATGCAGAGCACCTATATCTAATGCGGTCAAATCTAAAGTACAGTGCTCCACTTGCGAAGATGCCTATCATACAAGCTGCGCTGATACGCCTACTCTTGACTTGGAGGGGCATTGGTACTGCCCAGTTTGTCGGAAGAAAACGATGGAGTATTCCCAAAGCATGTCTAGCTCGAATTCAAAGCCAGAACCGTTGAACACCCAACATTTTCAACAGATAATGGACCAACTTGCACAGTTGAATACGCAGATATCAGTCTGCAACCAGAGCATACATAACATTAAAGAAACGTTGATGAACCACAGCCAATCAATTACGGACTGTGTAGCTGAAGTTTCTGCCCTGAAAGACAAAACAACCAACCTTGAGACGCAGCTAGTTGAACTCCAATCAGCTAGTTCCAGAATGGTGTCTCCCAAAGAAGTAGATCTGAACCTATTTTGTGCAGAATCCAGAGACCGCATGGAGTTGGAGAAAAACATAATGATAACTGGTATCCCTGAGACCAACTGCATTATCACTGATGAAAATCATGTGAAGTCCATCGTAACTATAATTAGGAACGGGTACCAGTCCCTTATCACGTCAATTACCCGCATCGGAAAGCCCACCAATGGAAAAACCAGACCCATCAAAGTGAGTTTCGCGGAGAGCAAGATCGCTTTCGAGATACTTAAAAACAAAAACAAGTCAAAACCCAACTATCCACAATCCAACATAAAATCTGATCTAACCCCAACACAAATGAAGGAATTACAAGATCTTCGTAGTGAGCTACAGAGGAGAATGGATAGCGGTGAACCTAACCTAACAATTAAATATATTAAGCGAATTCCACAGATTGTCAAATCGAGCTTCGCCACCGATTCAAAAAACTCCCATTAGTCAATGGAATTTGCTGCTCCTGTCTGGTCACCGGGTTTGATTCGCGATATCAAATTAATCGAGGGTGTCCAACGCCGTGCCACTAAAATCATCAACGGACTGAATCAAAAATCGTATGCCGATCGCCTGCAACATTTAAACCTGCCTACTCATTACTAGAGACGAACTCGAAGCGATCTGATCGAAATTTATAAAATCCTAACAAATCGGTACACAGTAGACTTATCTAGCATGTTCGAAGTGAATGAGAGTGAAAGGTTGCGCGGTCATCCATACAAACTGAAACGCGAAAGATTCAGAAAATGTGTACGCGAATACACACTATTCAACAGATCCTTCCAGCTCTGGAACAGTTTGCCCGCTAACGTAGTCTCTGCGCCATCCCTGAATGCTTTCAAGAATTCTTTGGACAAACATTATAATGATAACCCACACATATTTCCCCAACATTTCCTACTCATGTAAATTCTACGACAGGCTTATATAGCTGATTCAATCCTCATTAGTTATTATTTTAGAATTAAGCAATTACTTTCATGATTATGTATTTATGTATAACTTTAGTATAAAGAGTTTATAAGCTTCTAGCTTCTACTCTTGTTAGTTTATAAATAAATAAATAAATAAAAAATTCTTGACTTTTTGGAGCAACCAGTATGCCCAAATATTTCTCATGCTCCATAACGAAATATCATGTAAATGTTGGGAGACTTGGCAGCATTAAACTGACCACAAGACAAGACCACGCCCACAAGTCGCCGAGTTGTTATTGAAATATCATTTCAATATGTATGTTCTTGTTTTTACTTCAGTGTCCTGAAGATGAAACAATAAAGTTTCGAAACGTCGACAATTTAAAAATTGGTTTTCTTCAACATTTCGACCGAATTCCCGCCATCTCAACACCAGAAATCATATACAACAGTCGCCATTCTATTCAACTATACCAATAACTAATATTTCTGAAGTTCCCAATCGTATTTCAATACATGGCAACTGAGCAATGGTCTGTCCCTACTTACGAAATCGTGACGTCAGTTTTTACTCGCGGTAATTTTCTATCCGTTTGTGTATGTCTATATGATTGTGTATGTATGTGTGTTATGACGTATTCTCTGTAAAATATTACAATGAATAAATTGATTGATTGATTGATATATTACCGTGGCATTATTGATGATTTTAGCACCTAATAATCGACCCACAAATTCTAAAATGATATGGAATTGAAAGGTATTTGAGTGATGATTCTATTTGAATTTGATTCTATAGAAATATTTTGAATTTGCTGACTGGCAGTGACAATTCTCAGCAACACAAAATTACATATTCTGTACCGGGTGAACAACTAAGAACGGCTGTTATCAATCCTTTTTCCAATTTTGATCGTCAATATCTTCCGTTAGCGAAAAGCTATCATGTTACGGTTTTCGTTGGTCTGTTGAGATTCAGTTTCTCTATTTGATCGTGTAATAACATGCATACATCACATTTTTAATTCATGATATCTATTGATACTCCAGATCACGCCGACAGTCGTTCTTATTTGTTCACCTGGTACAGCAGCTATTATCATAAATTTACTACCACAAAATTTAAAAAATTTACATTTTAAAAGTATAGCCAAGGATTTATCTGAATGAATCTGCCTGAGGTATACATTCCTTTGCCAGCATCTTCAATAACTAGTATAGTATCATACTATTATTATCATACACAGATGAAAGATGAAATTGTAGCCTTGTTATTTTGTAGAACATTTCAGATCCATCTGAATACTTCAAAACTGGTTGAAAATAAAAAGTAATATAATAAATTGTATATGGTACCTGGTACCTCGTCCTCAGGAATAAATAATGGTAGGTTTTATAGCTAGTGGTGGAAAAAATATAGTATTGACCTGACTATTCCTATACTTTTGTTGAAAAGTCTAAAAGAAAATAAAGACATTTATTTTTTCTGTATTGAAATGTGCTCAAACAAATCTTTTAAGGATTTATCGGGCACTGTTTCTGTCCAGCATCATTGATAATGTTACATGATAATGTAGTTTTTGGTAGAATCAATTGGCTTTCAATATTTTATCATTCTGCATTTTTGCAGACAATAATTGAACATGGATTTTAATTTCAAGTCCCATGTTGAAACTCCATAATGTAATATGTGTAAATTTTTTTCCAGTTCATCTATCAAAAATTCTAGATATAAATATCCACATGTTTCAAAATGTTTCACTAAGATTTATTTGAAACAAAATATGTTGAACTGTATGCACTCTGATGTAGGTTTATTATTGTTATTGTTGAAATGAAATGAGTAAATTGTATAGGTGATAATCACTGACACTGACTGAAAATGGGGTTTTTCTGTCAGACATTCACTGAAGAAAATACTGGAAGGCACACCACCATAAATAACAATACATATCTTCTCTCCTTATGGCCCCTTGCCCCAATAGTTATCTGTACAGTTTTTATTAAAAACTCAAAATTATGCAACAGCAGGCTAATTCAATTAGATCCAAAATTGCAAGGAACAAGAATCCATGAAATTTGAGCTATAAGACATAACTTTAAGAAGAAATTCCCAAAAAATTATAAAATTTCAACATTTTTTATATCCAAGTTGTCAAAATATTTCACATATTGAAAAAAATGTTTTCATGATTTTTGTATTTGATATCTCTTCATAAGAATAAATGTATATTCAACTTAAGGTATGGAAACAATAAATCACCACATATGAAAGGTACATAATACAAGTGATGAAAATATCATGGAGGTTGACAGATAAAATAAAAAAGTATAGGAAAGTAACCAAGTAATCACCTTCTCAATTTTTTACCATAAGTTCAGAATCAGTAGTATAAACAATTGAACTAAACAGGAGAACAAAAACTTACCAGAATGGGCATTAGGCTGTGCATTCTGAAGATCATTCTCCAATTTGCTGACCATGTCTCTGTAACCATCAACAATCCTTTCCAAATTCTCAATACGGTCTTTCTGAGACTGAATCTGTCCCCCAGTAGTGGTATTGGCAAGTGACATAGTCAAATCTCTTTCATAGGAGTCCAACTGCAGTCTATAGCTGTCTCTTTCTCTACTTACTAAGAGAAGCTTCTTTTGCATCCTGTGTATCAAATTCTGTTTTTGTTCTCCAGTTTGTTTCAGTTCCAAAATGAGTTTTTGGCATTTTTCAAGTTCAGATTTTGCCACTTTCTCTTCCTAAAAATTTGAGGAAAAAAGTAGCATTGTTCAATATTCTACATACTTTTATTCTTGATTCTCACATGAGTGATTGATTTTAATTGTGACTCCATTTCCACTTTTTCTGATGTCAATGTCAGCTCTTGTTGTTGCAGTCTCTCAACAGCTGACCTCAATAAATGCTGAAGTACTGAATCAGAATCAGAAGACTCACAGATACCACGAGCAACTGCTCTCCATTCACTCAAACACATTGCATTTTGAGTTTCTTGGACCTACAGATGAAAGAAACATTATTGAATGTTGTTGTATCATAGTTTCATAAAAACTTACTTGCAACTCAGAAAGTTTCTTTTCATATTCCTTGAATTTGGTCAAACGATTTTTTAAATCATGAACTTCTTCTTCCAAAATTAACTTATTACGTATCTCATCTTTCAGTCTAGAATTTTCTTCTTTGAATAGCTCATTTTCCTTCTCAAGTTCAATATAGTGAGCAAGTTTATATGCCTGTGTCTATAAAAAAATCATGATAAGTAAAATCCATAAATAATAATGAGAACATGTTCATTCATACTTTGGCTTGCTCATGAAATTCTAAGATATTTTCCTTAGCATATTCCAGTTCTTTGATATAAAAATTGGCTTTTTGGAGTTCTTGTTCTTTCATATCAAAATCTTTTTGAAGAGAAGTATTCTCACTTAGTCTCTTTCCTAAAATATAAAATACATTTTTTAAAAACTTCAATAGTTATGATAAAAATTACTTACTCAATTCATCTGCTAACTTTTTTTGAGCCTCAGCATCCTCTTCAGCTGCTTCCAACATTGTTTCTAGTTGGGTAATTCTACGCTCCAGTCCAGAAACTATCCCATTTTCTTCAGATTCCATATGCCTGGTCTCTTCTTTCATATCTTCTATACTTTTCTCAAGAGTTTCTATCTCCTCATTAGATCTTATTTTGAGTTGCTGGTATTTATTATGTACCTAAAAGATTTCAATTTAGAAACCATAGGAATTTTTATAACTTTATCTAAAAAGATTCCAACCTCAGCTAGCTCTTTTTTTACTTCAATTTCCCTCTTTCTAATAGTTTGTAGACGATCTTCCAAATCCAATATAGATTTTTTATCATGTTCACTTTGTCTCTTCAATACATGGTTTTCTTCATCAAACATCATTTGCATTTGCTTTCTAACAGAATGCATGTGACTAATTCTACCCTCTAATGTGAGAATTGTGTTTCGAGCTCCAACTAAATCAGCTCTTATCCTCCTTATTTCCATTGGTGATCCAACATAGGACATATCCAGTTTGGGATCTCGTTTGAGCTTTTTGATAGGTGTGGGTTCTTCATAACTACTTTCATTTGAGGTAGGACTGTAGGGTCTCTTTACAGGGGTGAATTCACATTTTGTATTTCTTAAATCAGTGGTAGTTGGCTTCAGATTTTTCACCATGTTGAGAATGGTATCATCTATGTTCTCTGTCATAATTTTATTTTACAAAATTTCAAAATATCATAACCTCACATGTACAAATCCATATTTTATAGATGACTGGAAACGTGCACAAATTATATTAGGTTTATTCTTAATATTTATAATCTAAAATACAGAAATAGAAGATCTGTAGAAAACTCAAAAATTACCTGGTCGGTCTATTAAAAAAATTGAACAATTTTGTGAAAGTCAAACAAAAAGGGAAGAAAGATGCGTTGCGAGTTGCGTGAATCTTGTTTTGAAGTTTTGCCAATTTTCCTAGGGAAAAATAAATATTCCCCAAAATAGAGGTTGCCACATTATCACTCCCCAGAAATCATTCAACGGGAGAAATACAAATTCATAACTAATTGATGAACAGACGAGCTTTGATGATGCTACAAGATTCGAGGTTTCATAAATCTATCTGTGAGCATCCAAATCGTGTTTTTTCTCATGAAAAACCATTTTCAGAAACTGAAATATTTGGGTTGGCAACGTTGTAACTACTACTCGTTCGACAATGAAATTTCCCTCTGCACAAATGTTATTTTGAATTCTCATACGACAAATAATTTTTGAGAGCTTTCTCAGCAAACTCTCGGCATTAAGATGTTGCTCTTTCTATAATTAGGTGTTTTAGTTCTGATAAGAAATTTTACATCATATGAATCAGAGCTGAATTATAGGAATAATTCATGATTTTCTTTGTAGATCCAAAAATTTTGACAACCTCCTGCATAATCACTCTATAAAATCTGACCAATCAGTAAAACCTTCAAATTGAGTCATGCGCAGTGACTTTCTTGCTGCTGCTCCGCCGGCCGCCATTTTACAAGCGTCCCCGCGATTGTTTGAGAAACTCTCTTGTTGAGCCAGTGTTTTTAACACGGTAGTACCCCAGTGCATTTTGATTACAAATTTTGAATCAAAAAGCCGGTATGGGTGATTATCAAGTAGCAGGTGTTCAACAAGATGCTCTCGGAGCTGTGCAACTAGAAATCGGAGGGAATCCCAACACCCTAGCTTTACGTCGGCCTTTCGACCCTTTAGCCCATGACTTGGAAGCAAGTTTCAGATTGACCCGTTTCGCCGATTTGAAAGGCCGCGGATGTAAAGTGCCCCAGGAAGTGCTCAACAAACTTGTAGAGGGGCTCCAGCAGGATTACAATTCAGCTGAACATGAACATGCTCATTTTATGCATATGGCCATTCCACGGATCGGAATCGGCCTTGATTGCTCGGTAAGGAGTAGTTCTAATCTGCTTTGTGTTCATTTGGTGTTCATCTACACACAACTATTTGTACTTTTTTTACTTGCCAGATACATAAAGGCATTCCTATTTATCCATTCCTACCTACTCTCAATTTTCACCTATTTTTCAGCTCTTTAATCTCCCTGTTTATTTCTACATCAAATTTATAAACAAACAAATCCATGAAATTCATAATCTAGGTACCTACCTACCAATTGCTATTCCAATATCAATTTAATTCTTGAAAATATTCCTCACTGAGGTTCCTATCAGTTTTTTTCCCAAAACCATCAAATTGTACCCATATATTTACCTAGTTGGGAGTGAAAACTGCTACAATCAGAATCCTTTTTGTGCCATCAGAAACAACACAGATGAGAAATTTGCAAGAAATAATATGTTTTCTAAATGTTGTTAAAATCATTCAACTAGAGGTTTTGAGATGGCACCTACTTTTAAATAATGAAAAGATTTTATTTTCAATGCTACAAATTGAAAATTCATCATTTTCATCTGATTTTTTATGAATAAATTACCTAATAGCTTACTGAAATATCTAATTGTGGTACATTTCTGAGCACAAAAAATAATGCAGAATCAAGGGATGCAAAAAAAAATGTTTTAGCCTATGTTGGCATCAGTTTGTGGTGTATTTGAAGCATATATTTTGTTTATTCATTCTTTGAAATTCAATGAAAAATTATGCAGTGGTGCATACTGAGATATCCAGAATGAATATTTGAAAGTAACTCATGAAAAGCAGTAGGAATATCAAGTGAAATATATACCTGCTAAATAATTTAAAGAGCATGACAAGTTGACCTAAAAATTGTATGTATCTGGAGTTCATCTAAATTTAAAATTCAAATAAGCAGAGATAAACTAAAATGAACTGAATACATTTTGTGAGCTATGAATTATTATAATGTAACCCTATACTTAGCTCAAAAAACATTGTTTTATTCCTGAAAGAAATATTTTCCAGGATTGTAAAATAGTAATAAAAAATTTATAGGTTTATTATGATTATTTAAGTAAGTATTATTACTTAACACTTATTTTTTGTGAATTTCAACTGAACACTTATTTTTTGTGAGTTTCAACTAATCATGATTTTCAATTAATACTCTAGAAACAAATGAAGACATTTTTTTTCTGGGTGAAGTTTATCTCCACACATTTCAATCTGTTTCCATCTTTCCATACATTTATTCATCCCAAATTCCAAAATTGATATTCTTCAGAATCAGTTTTTTTTTTTCAATTTTTCAACAAGCATTCAATAATGTCACTCTCATTGGTGTTTTTGCTATTCAATTTTTGTTTACACATGGAGCTATAATACCTCCTATATTACTGATATTGCATAACTGCAATTTAATAATAATGTTCATCTCTGAATATTTTGTGTGCATAGCAATGTTGTAAATATTTGTAGTTTTGTTCAATGAAGTTGATAAAAACATGAATAAGAAAGAAACCAATGAGAAAATATTAGGCTATAGTGTGATTTATGTTAGAATATGCTATAGATGCTTAGATGCTACTGGTATACACAGGGCCTTATGAAAATTTTGTAGAAAATCTAATATCAGTGTAACACCCTGTATGATGACAGAAAAGAAAAAACAAGATTCACTTAAGGTAAATGGTATGGAAACTGGAAAGAAACGAGTTTTTGTATATTTTTACTATTATTTGATCACTTCAGGTTTCACTGGAAATTACTCTGGTTTTGAATATTTAAATGGAACACCCTGTATATTGCAATATTTTTGAATTCCTGAAACAATTCTGGATCAGAATGTGATATTTTCAAGTTTTAATGCTTAATTTTTCTAGATTGCACAAAATTAAGGAACTTTTACTTTTTGCTTATAAGGATTTTTGTTTTCCAAAGAAGAATTGATGAAAATTAGGGTCCCTTGTCCCTTGATGGAAATTGACGTTAAAGTCAATGACAAATACGTCTATTTACATCAAGGGACCCTAATGAAAATAACTGCAAAAGATTATGCATCATGACTAATGATGACACACTTGACAACATTGAATAAATTATCCAGTATTTTCCTTATTGATATTTAAATTATGTCAATATTTTTAATCCCATCACAAATAAATTAGTATCATTAGGTTCCTCAAAAAATTCTTTTTTTGAAAAATGCTTTCCAAAAATGGTCACCATTTGAAAAATAATTTGTTGCTACCTATTTGCGGTAGTCAAGGTCATCATCTGATGACATGAATTTTAAAACTATGGGAAAACACATGATGAAAATAGACTGGTGTAACCACTTGTCAATTGTTTCTTTCCAAAACGTGTAGACCGCGAAACACCGTAACAAGGCCGCACCGGATTGACTGTAGATGGCGTAGGGAACATGGTGCCACATATAATTCACAGATATAATGAAAATTTCACGTCTTTTTCATTAAATCAATCACTTTTTCTCAATGTTTTTAAATTACAAATCAATATACGTAAATGTAAACAACAAAACAACCATTGTGTAGCAAGATCACTTCGGGAACAGCGCCATCTAGCGTTAGTTTTGCGCGGCCTTACTACGGTGATAGAATTCGACATAATCAAGTAGGCCAGAGGTCTACAAAAATGTCTAGGGTTTTGTAAGAGGGAGCTATTTCACCATACATATATCCACCTTTGGAAAACATGTCTAACTGTCAATGTTTTGCCATAGTTTTCATGTCATCCCAAGATCAGATGATGAACTTTAAGCGGGATTTATAGATTGAGACGTAGCAAGTGTCCAAGTGTGGTTAAACATATACATTCATAGATTTGCTGCAGCCCAAAGTTGATCAACTGACATCTTCGGCGGCGGCGGCAGCGGACGAATAACATAAAACAAGATGATCTTGAAGACATTTCCAGTTCTGTGTTTCTGTGTCACTTATATTTTTATTTAAATTTGTTTTTCTGTAATTGAATAATGATGAAAGTAGGATATGGTGCGCGCATTCGGCCATTATTACGTATTGAAAATTTCAGAAAAATCACTCGACTGCCTACTATGATTTCTCTACGTCACAACGAGCGAGACGTTGATTCTACATTTTCCCACTAGATGGTGATGCTGCTATTGCTGCTGTGACGAGTGGAAATAAAATGGCAAATGGCATTTTAGGTTCGCGGAACATATGTAACAGTGGAATTATTCAGCTCTAAATTCGAAAAATCTTGCGACAATTTCAAAACTGACAGAAGTAATAATTGTGCAATGCACCATCTATTAGAAGATCGATGGAACCATTGCTCTCACTGTTCTCGAGAGGTCGAGTAAAATTTCTGAAACAAAAGCGCATCAGTAATTACACCATATCTTACTTCCATCAATAATTGAATGTAGGAAAATAATAGTAGAAATGGAGAACATTGATATAGGAGTATTCCTAAATTTGGTAGAGAAATGTGAAAGATAAAAATAACAAAAATCTATTGATAAAAAAAAACAGTTGTCCCCAGGAATGAAATATAGAATGACTGCTATTGCCGATAGGGAAGAGGAAAGCTTTTAAATGAATCAATTGAGGTCTTTTTTTATCTTGAACGAGAGAGAGGAAAGTTCTCTCCCCTTCCATTTTCTCTTCAATGATACCAACGTAGCCGCATTGAAATATAGAGAGGTCCGATAAATCTGTCCTTGTCTAACATTTAGTTTATGCCCTTAACTATTTTTGAATTCAGCAGTCATTCAGTCGAATTTAATGATATCAACAAATGATTTCATTTAAAAAATTCGAAAGGTTTATCGGGCAATGACATTTATGATGACATTGACATGTCGCATCATTATAACATCGAAAATAGTTCAGTAGCGCAGAGTAGACGTTAGACAAGGAAATATATATCGAATCTCTCTATATTTCAATGCGACCACGTTGGTAGCATTGAAGATGGAAGAGGAGAGAACTAGCATAGATTGAAAGTTAATGTTTTCCCGTAGTTTTTAATGTCATCTCAACTTCATCTAATGACCTTGACGACCGCGAATTTATTATAGCACAAGCATCCACTGCCTTCTTGTCAATAATATTGAGAAATGAGATCAGTTAAGTTATGTGGACAATGAGTTTTCAACTTGGCAACATTGTGTTAGCGCCAGTTGCTTCATCTCTTTCTCTTGTAAACATAGTTGCCACATTATCAATTAAATTTTCCGGGAATGAGTACTCGAGAAATAGTAACACTATTTAATGATTAATGATTATGATAATTAGTCTACAAAATCATAACATCGTAACTCAAACCAAACCATATTTTGAAAAGCGTCTTACTGTTAGATGCTTGCGTCACATTTTATCAACAGTAAAAACACAAGAGCTTTTTTTTATCGGATAAATTTCTCTTGGTAACAAAAAACATTTGCCGATCACTAATTTTACGAGAAAAACTGACATTCATTCATTCATAGTAAGGAAATTTATTCACTTACAAAAAGAAGTTCGAGTGTTTTTTGGCAAGATAAATCAACGACAATATACAAATAAACAACAATAATGATCACCTTTATTGATGATTCCGTGTAACTGGTAGTTTGCTGAATTGATTTCTTCATATTCTCGTGGTTTCTTAAGACGAAATTTTCCTAAAACAGCACAACTTGCTAATTTACGCGTGAACCATACCCATCCATCAAACTTGGGAGTGACATCTAGCGCAAATAGCTACTAGATCAAAGGAGCAGGCAGTTTATCTGCGATAAAAAAGGTGCATCCTTTTTTATCAATGTCGAAATGATTCACGTCGTGTTTTCAGTGTAGGAGTTGATTTACCCTAGCTAATGGAATATTTCGGAGTTCAGAGTAAACTGAATCTGATCTGCAGTAAATGACCAATCAAGTAATCACTTACTACATGGTAATTTCGAATCATGACATACCTTGAACCATCTTGCACATAAGATCAATTCAAGGATTTTTATTTCTCAAATAGAATCTTCACTGAAATACCTATCAATTTCATATTTTTTTTAGAATTTTTCGGTCGATTTTAAGGGGCTAAAATCATCAATAATGCCACGGTAATTTTCAAACGGCTAGAAATTTACCGCGAGTAAAAACTGACGTCACGAATTCGAAAGTAGGGGCCGACATAGCACAGTTGCCGTATGTTGAAGGCAATAGGGAACTTCAGAAATATTAGTTATTCAATAATCCATAAATTCTCATTTATGTATTGGTAACAACATCCCTGATTAGCAATAAAAAAAATTCCCTCATGTGTTGTGGCTTATTGCTTATAATGAATTTGTGTAAATAATAATTATATTAATTCACACTAGAGGACATTTGAACCGGTAAACGTGACAACACAGCTTATGAATTGTGGGCGTTGTCTTATCAGCTCTCAGCATTCAGCACAATGTTGCCATATCTCCAACATTCATGATAAATTTTCCTCAAATATAACGTAGGCCAACCTGTATCCTTTGATAAAACAACTTATGTTGAAACCAAACCTTCCTTGTTGCCTACTATCATGATGACTTCGAGGATTATGATCAGCACCGTGGTGTTCATTATGTCTATTGAACAATCCAGCACTAGTGACATAAAATATTTGACATTTTCAATGATATTTATTCTCCTACTTTTGTTAATATATGTATATAGAGAATCATTTTCAACCTATATTCTGCCTCTTTATAGCATTTTCCAGAGATTTCGGTGATTCCATAGCTGCTGGCGGGCAGTGTTATCACTGGAGATGATCCCACTTGATTCTCGAGTGTATCATTGGCATCTCTCTCACATTGACGAATGTCGGAATCCTACCTCAATGATTACTACGGAAGATATAGAGGTGCAACCAGAAATGTGACACATTGAGTATATTTTTGCGAATATTTCTGAAGTTGTCGAAGAAAAGAGTAGGTTAATATATATATATATATATATATATTTGAATATGGAATGCCTAGGACTATCCAACTGTGCTAAAATATACGGGGTGTTCCATTAGAAAAAAAATTGACTGCCCTATCTTTTCGATGTCACCCTGTATGAGATTTCTGATGATGCCGGCATCATTATATATGGATAAAAATTTGAAATTTTGCAATATCTCTCCTCATAAAGTACTCAGAAAATAAAAATGAAATCGGCAATATTTCAATTTCCCCCTGTATCTCTGAAACGAATGAAGATATCAAAATTCCAATTGTACCATTCGAGGTTTCTCTGAAATCGAACCCGTATAACATGTATATCGATTTTTTGATAACTCCTTCAGTTGCTGAGTTATCCTATGAAAACGCCCAATTTTGCCCACCCTGTACTCTTTGTCCAAACCCTCACTGATTTCAACACACGCTAGCATCTGTAAATATGTCACCCGGCATGTCCTGTAACCGTAGGTCACCCCGCTGCGCCACGGCGGCCTCTGCCTGGTCCAGACCACCGACTTCTTCTATCCGCTCGTCGACGATCCGTACATGATGGGCAAGATCGCGTGCGCGAACGTGCTCAGCGACCTCTACGCCATGGGCGTGACCGAGTGCGACAACATGCTCATGCTGTTGGGCGTCAGCACCAAGATGACGGAGAAGGAGCGCGACGTCGTCATACCGCTGATCATGCGCGGATTCAAGGTAGGGATGGTACTGAAATACTGAATACCTAAAGACTGAGCTGGAATATTAATCGTTCATCGGCTGTAATAAATTTGTTATTTACATTCTTCATATTGTAGGTTAGGTCCACGATCCTAACCTTATCTTTTCGCTCTTCTTATTTCTTATTGTAAAATGAGTTCGTGTCGGGTGACAGTGTTGCCAGTCCCGAGCCACCGTGTTGCCATATAACTTGCTAGTCCAAGATTCGTGAACTATACTCAGCCGCCGCAGCGTCCGTCTGCCTTAACCTGTGGTTCTGTGACAGACTTCCATCGACTATATTAATTCCTTTATTTGTTTTGAATTTGGCGCGCGGAAACTGTTTTTTCAAACTTCCTTAACGGTCAGCGATCGCAGCGCGGATGTCGTTCCCCTTGTCAGGTGCATTTAAACTTTAAATGTCTGGTTGAAGTTAACGTTGGGTCCGAATCGGTGATGTAAAGAGGCAACCTTTCGGTTTGGTCAGTATTTTACCCCTGTATGGGAATTATTGTGCAACCTGGTGTTTCTATAATAGGTAAATGAATACGATGATTTTAGTTGTTATGGATTGATTGAGATGAGTGTTTTCTATAATAGCCGAAGTACCACGCGGACGAATAAAGTTCCAGTTCCAGCTCCTACTCCTGGCGTATTCTTTATACTCTGTCTAGCCCCCCCAAAAACCCGTCTCAGCTCATCTTGGCGCACAACGCACGGCGAGTGATATGATGGAAGGAAATGGAACTCCTCTAGGTACAGGAACTTATAATCTTCGATCAAGAGGTGGGCATCAAGGAAACTGGCAAGCAGGATCAACAGGTCGACAGCAAGGCCAAAGACAAGGTACCCCAAGGCCAGAAGAAAGACCTACTCAGGGACCAATTGATGAAGGTGTACAGGCCTTCTTAGATCGGCACCGTAATATGGTGCCACCCAGGCCATGCCCCCCTCCCACACCCTCAAGTATGGCATCAGGTATGAGCGCTCCAATTTTTCATTCTCAACCTCGGAGGCCACAAGAGACAGGGCCTTTACCTTCTCAGCCTGCTAGAGCTCCTCCTACAGTTAACCCCCCAAGTCAACAAGGGGGCGCTTGGCCATCACAGCCTATCTTGATGGCAACACCTCAAGTGATGTCAGATTTAATAAATGGTGTGATTTCTGGCATTCAAAGACTAAATTTATCAAGTAATTCTAATAACAACCATGTAAGAAATACTGACACAATCACAAGGAAGCCTCCAGTGTTTGATAATGTAAATATTCACCCAGTAGATTTTGTTGAAACACTGGAGAATGTATTCAAAGTCAGAGAAATGCACTATAGGGATTTTCAATTCTTTGTGGGTGATTTGTTTATAAATTCACCAAAGTTATGGGCAGATGCTTTTTTGGGTCAGTTTCAGAGCTACTCAGAATTCAGGGAGGCTTTTTTAAATCTTTATTGGGGAGTTTCCCAGCAAGATGCAGCAAGGGTTGCTCTGGAAAGAAACAAATTTCAGGATGGATCAGGTACTTTGGTAGATCATTTTAATAACATCTTGAAAAATGTTAAATACTTGGATCCCCCCTACCCTGAGCGGCTGTTATTGAAAAGAATTGCTAACCTATATCCACCTTGGGTCTCATCAGCTCTTTTCAATTGTTATTCTCTCACAGAAATGTTAGAACGTCTACGTCAGGCAGATGAGTATTTTGAGGGTAGACCAATTTGTAACGTTTTTCAGAGGAGACCTGAAGGGGAACCCAAGGTACATTTTGATAAAACTGCTAACAAATCATTTAGATTTAACAGAAATCAGCCTAGTGAGCCCAAAATGTATACAAGAAATATGTCACCAGTTCGTTTAGAGTCTGAAGAGGGAAACGAACAAACCGACCATGTTTAGACCCAAATGTGGCTGGTATATTGAGCAAGGGTCCATTTTTAGTTCAAAACAACCCCTGTGATGACTTGTTATCAGATTGTGACTTAGAACATGAGATATTGAATGACCGTTCTCCGGTTATTAGCATTAGGTTATATAATTTTAATATAGTAGCACTAGTGGATAGTGGGAGTCAAATATGTGGTATTTCCAGTGAAGTCTGGTCACAGATTTCAGACTACCATGAAATTATACCCACTTTCCCATGTGTAGGTATAAGAATTTCAGGGCCTTTCAAGGCAAAACAAAAAAAAGTTAATTTGCAAGCAAATTTAAATTTTTCCATAAATGATGCTCACTTTGAGCAGGAATTTTTGGTAATCTCAGAGTTGGTATATCCTGCAATTATCGGTATGGACTTTCTTAGGAAAATCAAAGCTAATATTGACTTAGACAAAAATGTAATAAGTGGCATCCAAAATGGTAAATCTTTTACAGTGTCAGAAATACAAACGACCCATGAGCTTGAAACTTCAGAATCCTTGGAAATCAATAGTATAACTATGAAAAATAATTTGTCTCTTTGTCATCTGGAATTCAAAAACCAGGATTCTGATATTGATATAACATCTGTCAGCTGTGATTTGCCTGAGGATGAGAGATTGTGTTTTTTAGAATTGCTAGCTAGGAATAAAGGCGTTTTTTCTAATATTCCTGGGCGAACCAAGGAATATTTTCATGAAATTAAGTTGAGAGAGGATAAAGAATTTTTTATTAAACCCTACCCTCTTCCAGTGGCTCATAGGAAGGCAGTAGGTGAGGCTATCGATCAGATGTTACAGTGGGGTATTATTGAAAGAGCACCAACCCCTTATTGTTCACCATTGGTTACAACTTTAAAAAAAGATGGAACAGTGAGAGTATGTCTGGACTGTAGAAAATTGAATTCTTTGATGGAAAAGGACCATGAATTGGTGAGGACAGTAGAAGACATAATGCTCACAATGGGAAGTGCTCGGTATATGTCTCGAATTGATCTCACCCACTCATACTGGCAGATTCCGCTGACTGAGGCTAGCAAAAAGTATACTGGCTTTGTCTATGGTACCAAAAGTTACCAGTTCTGCGTCTTGCCTTTTGGGATAACCACAGCTGTTTCGTCCTTCACTCGTGCAATTGATAAGATCCTAGGGCCAAATTTTAATGATTTCACCATAGCTTTTGTAGACGATATTTTTGTATATTCAGACACATTTCATGGTCACCTGGAACACCTAAGGCTGCTTTTCACGCGACTTGCTGAGGCAGGAATGACCATCAAGTTCAAAAAATGTAAATTTTTTTGTAAGGAAATCAAGTTTCTCGGTTATATAATTAGCTCAGAAGGCATTAAGCCAGATATTAGTAGAATTCAGGCTATTCGGGACTATCTTAAACCAGCTAATGTCAAGGAGCTGCAGAGATTTATAGGGATGTGCAATTTCGATAGGGCCTTTTGTCCAAATTTTTCTACAACTCTCGAACCCCTCACACAGCTCTTAAGGAAAAAGAATGCCTGGAAATGGACCGCAGAACAGGACCTGGCATTTGAGAATGTGAAGTTCAAACTGGAACAGGCGACGATATTGTATCACCCAGATTATTCACTGCCTTTTTGTCTCCAAACTGATAGCTCAGAAGTTGGGCTGGGAGCACAACTTTTTCAGGTTGTTTCCGGAGAAAGGAAAGCTGTGGCTTGGGCCAGTCGACAGCTACTTGATAGAGAACGTAGGTATCATGCAAGTGAGTTGGAGATTCTTGCTGCAGTATGGGCGATGCAGAAATGGCGGATATATTTGCTTGGTAGGAAATTTACTTTGTACACAGATAATAAGGGTTTGGTATATCTTCAGACTTGTAGAATACTATCACCACGTATAGGAAGGTGGGCCCTTGCCTTACAAGAGTTCAACTTCGACATTAAGTATGTTCCAGGCCGAGAAAATGTAGTGGCGGATGCGCTTTCGCGCCATTCTTGTGCAAGGCCACCAGTGCCACAAGATAAATGTTTCAAAATAATGTCTTTTTTGAGTCTCCCACCTACGTTTGTCAACATTTTAAACAGGATTAGTGAGTATCAGGAACGTGATGTCAAATTGGCTAGTATTAAACAAAATATGCAGGAGGAATCCATCAATAAAAAGTTTGTAATTTTCAATGATATACTCTATTTAAGGAGAGGTGAGGGTGAAAGGTGTTTGTTGTGTGTACCATCATCATTGGTGACAGACTTTGTAAATGCTTATCATGAGGCTTTAGGCCATTATGGGTCCTATAAGTGTTGGACAGTGCTCAGGTCTGAGGTCTGGTGGGCTAATATGTATCGGGATATAAAAAGGGTGATTAAAACATGCCATATTTGTCAAAAAGCAAAATCAGTTAGTCTGCCAAAGCCTCCTGTGAACCCTATTTTGCCTACTGGAAAAGGTCAGATAGTTGCTTTGGACTTGTTTGGGCCATTGCCAAAAAGTAGGGCTGGCGCTTCCTACCTTTTAGTTGTCATAGATCTGTTCACCAAATTTGTGGCCTTATATCCCTTACGAAAAGCTACTGCAAAGGCGTGCCTCAACCGCCTTGAAAATGACTATTTCCCCAATGTAGGCCTCCCCCAAAGCATCCTCTCGGATAGAGGGACACAATTTACTGCATCGTTGTGGAAAAAAACTCTAGAGCAGCATGGTGTAAGGGTCATGTATACTTCTGTTCGACATCCTGAGGCAAATCCAGCAGAAAGAGTTATGAAAGAACTTGGCAGATTGTTTCGCACCTATTGCTCAGGACAACACACCCGTTGGGCTTGGGAAGTCTCAAATATAACTAATTTTTTGAATTCTTTAACACATGAATCCACTGGTCATTCCCCAAACGAATTACAGTTTGGTCATGAACGGTTAAGTTTGTTGCCAGAAAGATTTCGTCCGGCCAACAGAGATGAATTGGGGTATGACCAGAAACTCATACTGGCGAGAGAAACCCTAGTAGGCAAAGCAGCCCGACGAGCTGCTCGTTTTCCTAGTCGGCCCTATCCTACTTTTTCTAATGGTGATATGGTGTTATTAAAAGCGAATCCAATTTCTTCTGCTGTTAATCAAGAGACAAAGAAATTTCTACTATTATTTGAAGGTCCATACCGTGTTAAAAAACCTGTTAGTTTTGCTTCTTATGTGTTGGAAGACCCTGAAAATGGCAAAGAAAGAGGAATTTTTCACGTGAGCCATTTAAGGCCTTATTATGGTGGTGAAGCAGGCGTTTCTTGACAGATACAGCCGCTTCAGAGGTGGGCAGGTGAGCTGGAATATTAATCGTTCATCGGCTGTAATAAATTTGTTATTTACATTCTTCATATTGTAGGTTAGGTCCACGATCCTAACCTTATCTTTTCGCTCTTCTTATTTCTTATTGTAAAATGAGTTCGTGTCGGGTGACAGTGTTGCCAGTCCCGAGCCACCGTGTTGCCATATAACTTGCTAGTCCAAGATTCGTGAACTATACTCAGCCGCCGCAGCGTCCGTCTGCCTTAACCTGTGGTTCTGTGACAGACTTCCATCGACTATATTAATTCCTTTATTTGTTTTGAATTTGGCGCGCGGAAACTGTTTTTTCAAACTTCCTTAACGGTCAGCGATCGCAGCGCGGATGTCGTTCCCCTTGTCAGGTGCATTTAAACTTTAAATGTCTGGTTGAAGTTAACGTTGGGTCCGAATCGGTGATGTAAAGAGGCAACCTTTCGGTTTGGTCAGTATTTTACCCCTGTATGGGAATTATTGTGCAACCTGGTGTTTCTATAATAGGTAAATGAATACGATGATTTTAGTTGTTATGGATTGATTGAGATGAGTGTTTTCTATAATAGCCGAAGTACCACGCGGACGAATAAAGTTCCAGTTCCAGCTCCTACTCCTGGCGTATTCTTTATACTCTGTCTAGCCCCCCCAAAAACCCGTCTCAGCTCAAGACATTAGACCAGGACTGCCGTTTAGGTACTTTTGTACTGCACTCGGTAACATACTTCCGGTACGTCAGTACGACTATTTCTAAAACCAATGATATTCAACCTTTTCTACCCAGAATACATCATTGCATATACTAGGATAACAGAACAAGAAGATAGCAACAACTGTTGACTATATAGTGGGTGACGGTGAATGTCTGACAGTGGCTTTATTTTCTACTGTTAGCGGGCAATGTGTGATGGCGTGTTCACACGCTTTTAAGACTTACAGCGTATTCTCATCTCATTGGAATTGATTATAGATTGTTGGTTTAATAGACATAGGCGCCAAACATCATCAAACATGCATTGTTGCCAAACAACCGTTGCAATGCAGTTGTCTCTCTCGCACCCGTTGCACACATCCAAGCAATAACAGATCGGCTTTCAGAGCGTTATATCAACGAAACATTTTGTTTGTCGTGTTATGTCTTTGGGTATTTGTTGTAATTATGACTTGGTAACAGGAACGGAACAACCCTGTTACTGCAAATTGCCGGTTTTTAACATTTCTCAATTCAAGGATTCGGCGTTGGAGGCGGGCACGACGGTGACAGGCGGCCAGACGGTCGTTAACCCGTGGTGCACGATAGGAGGGGTGGCGACGACCGTGTGCCAGCCCAACGAGTACATAGTGCCGGACAATGCGGTGGTGGGGGACGTGCTGGTGCTGACGAAGCCGCTAGGGACGCAGGTGAGGTAGTAACAAAAATCTCCATGTCGCGGATATTGAAGACGATTTTGCAACGCTGTCAAAACATAATTCCCCATATATTAGGAACTGAAAATGAGTTGGCAACACTGTTAACACATAATTCCCAATGTATTAGGAACTGAAGATGATTTGGCAACACTACAAAGCCTGATGTGTTGGAAATTATTGCTTTTTGCCTCAAATTCACGTCTTTGTTGAGGAAGGAGTGTTGAAGAATTCACATACTTCCACCTCTTGTAGAGGTGCAAAATGGAACACGAACATCAAACAAACAACAAACCAACCACTAATGAACTTGAAAGAAAATAATCAAATCAAAATTGTAATTAGTCTGAGGTGATGTTCTTCAGTATATCAGCTACATTGACAGACAGACGAATTTTCGGTCGATGAACTGACAATACTAAACCTCTCACCTACTAACTAGGTTTCCATTTAGAATGCCAAAACCTCATATAGCAATAAAGTTTTGGGGAATGATTTATTAAAGTTCAATTATTTATTTCAAAGACAGAAATTAATGTTACGTTAGCGCGGTTAGCAGTAACGTACCAGTGTTTGCCGTCGTCGTGGTAGCCAGTCAAGAGTAGACCTTCAGGGTCACGGCGATGCGGTGTTGCATTTCTCTCACCGCGGCTTGTTATAGTAGAGTTCCTAAATGTACTTGACACTGCTGTTTTGACGTTTTTTGTATATTAGAGTATGGACACTATGACAAGCACTGACAATCAGACATAACCACAAATAAATTGATGGAAAAAGCGCGAACGGGCAGTACACGGACATAAATATCAAAGGTTTGACAAATTGAGAGAATTAGAAGAAAGATGCAAGTTTGTGCGGTTTCCAACTGGAGAACACGGGAAATCAATTCACTTTATTCGAATTTCCATCGGATAACGTAATTCTACAAAAATGGAAACAGAATATGATGCGACCAACATGGAATATACGTTCAGGCCACAAAATTTGCGAGGTATTCAAATTCCTTGGTAGGATATAGAACATTTTTAACGCATTTTTATCAGGTACACTTCAGAACGGAAGATTTGATATTGAAGAATAGGATCGTATTGAGGGAAAGAGCCGAACGCACAATTTACAAACTGAGCGAGTATTGAAAAGAACTTTATTCCAATTTAGAACCCACAACAAACGAAGAACTTGCAGATGATGAAATTCATTTCGAAGATATTTTGAAAGAAAAACACTTGAGAATGATCTTCCGATGGCCGGGTTCATACCAACAATCCCTTTTAGCAATGTGAACGGCGATCTATAGTCAGTCGAGCGCTGAAGTACATTCATACCTACTTCCGTATGTCTTGGAGAACCTTTATTATTCATCCTAACTGAAATCAGCTGTTATTTTTGCATTTGTTGCCATATTTGTTCATTTATTAATAACTTATTACCTACCACTGTTGTACAAGTGAAATAATTGTTCTATACGAAATAAAAGTATGTTTCATTGGTGGAAATTTATCATTTTTTACTCCATTCTGTTGTGATAAAACTTAATCATACCCTTCTACCCACTTGAAGAGACGCTTTGCACTCTCATACACAAATCAAAGACAGAGAAAGATATATGGATGTACTCTTCCCAGGACTTGTGAAGGATGGAAGTTGCGAAGATCCTTTATCTAGGCGAAAAACATGTTCTTGTCCTTGTCTGGCAAAACATATGATTTGCTTCAAAATCGTTTGTGGTTATGTTTGATTGTCACTGCTTGTCTAGTGTCCGTACTCTTATATACAAAAAACGTCAAAACAGCAGTGTCAAGTACATTTAGGAACTCTAGTTATTGAGCCGGCTGTGATGTACCATAACCAAAGTTGACCCGTTCGTTCAACAGGTAGCCGTGAACGCCCACCAATGGCTCGACCAACCGGAGCGCTGGAACCGCATCAAGCTCGTAGTCAGCGAGGAGGACGTCCGCAAGGCGTACCACCGCGCCATGGACTCGATGGCGCGCCTCAACCGCATCGCCAGCCGGCTGATGCACAAATACAACGCGCACGGCGCCACCGACATCACCGGCTTCGGGCTGCTCGGGCACGCGCAGACGCTCTCCTCGCACCAGAAGAACGAGGTGTCGTTCGTCATCCACAATCTGCCGGTGATCGCCAAGATGGCGGCGGTGGCGAAGGCGTGCGGCAACATGTTCCAGCTGCTGCAGGGCCACTCGGCGGAGACGTCGGGCGGACTGTTGATTTGCTTGCCGCGCGAGCAGGCGGCGGCGTACTGCAAGGATATCGAGAAGCAAGAGGGGTGGGTAGTGCTTGATGTTTTTTTTGTGAAATGGGGAAGTTTGCTTCAGATGAATTCTCATAAAATAAGTTCGGAAATCTCCAGTTATATTTCCACGCTGTACAGAATCACGACCGATACAGTCCAAGTCGTTTTCATTCTCAAATTAAAGCAATTTCTAATTTGCGGGGCGGCAAACTGTGACGTACATTCTGAATCTAGTCTGAAAATAGCTGATGGTGAAGAATATAGCTAGCAAATTGCTAACGAAAGAAAAAAATAGAAGAAGGAAAACTGGTGAACAAAAACATACATAGCAGGAATGCAGAGGGTAGTTGGCTTCATTCTGACAGGTTATGGTTTTGTTATTTATGCATTGAAATATCTCGAAAACAGCTCGATCCTAAACGGAAATATTGAATCAATGAATCACTATCGGCTACATTCAATGATACTATCCTTCCTAACTTCCTGCCATCGGTCAGAACAGAATGAAGCCGACACCATGGCTCCTTCCTCTTGTAATGCCTGTCAGTATTTTGAGTGGTGTAGACGGACTCGAAGTATTAGGCGCTGTTGCAAGATATAATCTGCAACTTTCCTAGAAAATAGTTCCGTTTTATCAAGGAACGAACTCATAAGCAGAAAAATAATTGACAAGTTATGAATAACATATTGTAATAATGATAGTGATAAATATTAATTCTGTGTGAATGTGGATTTTCAGAAAGTACGTCATAGGAATGGTGGAGGAGTCAAGTTCCTCTTTTATTTATTTTTTTCTGAAGTGAAATTTGATCTTAGGAATAAAAGAAAAAATACGTATACATATATATTAATTTTTCACAATCTTCACAGTGAGATAAAAACCACAATATGAGGAACGTCACCATTTTTATATTCTTTGAAGTTGAAACCAACTCTCCAGAAGTTGAAACTTTTGCTGGGTTAGGAAGAGCGGGACCTACAGCTTATAGTGGAATACAAACCACTTCTAGGGAGCTAAGGTGCTGCCAGGATTACAACCTGGAATCACATATTTTGAAGAAGAATGTCCAGCCAAGCCGGATCCGAACCGACAACACCTTCGCATCGTGAACGGCCCGTTAATACAATGTTCTAATCATTTAATTGGTCGTTTGGGCCCATCACTTTTGCCAAATATACACTTTGCCGAATGGACAAGTGGCCGAGCTTTTGGTCAAAACCGTTGGTTATTTACACCAATGATATGAAGCCAAATTTGGCATTAGTTCTTGATTGGCTCGTAGGCGGCGCTAGCGAAACTCGGCAAAATATGACAGGTTTGTCTATACTAGGAATCTGCTAGTCCATTTATCTGCAAGTTGCTGAACTATCTAGGAATATCCTTCCATTCTGAACGATTTTAAATAAAACTATTTTGATGCGGCCCTGTTGTGACATTCCTTCTTGCACAAAAACATCTGAAAATAAACATCGAATATATTCCGCATTACCGATCTCTACCATTTGTTACTCAACAAAAAAATGCACCTTGTTGCTCATAGATACCTCCACCCTCCACCTACTGACTAGAATTTCTGGCTTCATTGCTCTCACAAGGATGGTTCATCTTGTTAGTGTAAATAACCAAGGTCAATCAATAATGAACGCCAAAACAGATCGGTGGACACTTTGGCGAAAGCATATACAGTGTGTCCCACTTACCGTGCTCACCATGGGTATCTTTTTAACGGTGAGAGATACGAGGTCGGTTAAATGACACCAAATGTGGAGTTTGTCAAGGCCAACTATAATGTGAAGGAATATCTTGATAAATTCTATTCGTTTTTGTTTTATAGGCAAAAAACAGATTTTGATCATTTTCATGTCTCCTCCGTAACTTCTTTATCTATGAAAATATTTGAATGGGAATTTCACATTCTCATGGCAGTTTTTCAGAGTGATTTCGAAAAAAATTTGAAATTTATACCAACTCTTCTAGAATTTGAGATATCAGCACCAACTTTAGTTTTTCAAATGTAGGTCATAGCTCATTATGACTTAGTTACAAATAACTTTTTTTTCTCTTACAGATGATATGTCGCAGTAATAGTTTTGTGTTAATAACAACGGAGTTATCGTCATTTATACAAAAACAAAACATTTTTTGGAAGCCGCCATCTTCAATTTATAAGTTTCAACAAAAAAACCATGATCCTCGACCTCAAAAATCCCCACTTACCAATTTTGAATGGAATCTGACCAAATCTTGTCCGCCATCTTGGAGCAGCCATTTTTTTTAATTTCAACAAAAATTCCATAATGTATCGTCACCGAAATAATGAACACCTGCCAAATTTCAAGTTAATCGGAGTTATGGAATTTTTGTTGAAATTAAAAAAAATGGCTGCTCCAAGATGGCGGGCAAGATTTGGTCCGATTCCATTCAAAATTGGTAAGTGGGAGTTTTTGAGGTCGGAGATCATGATTTTTTTGTTAAAATATATAAATTCATGATGGCGGCTTCCAAATAATTTTTTGTTTTTGTATGAATGACGATAACTCCGTTGTTATCAACACAAAACTATTACTGCGACATATCATCTGTAAGAGAAAAAAAAGTTATTTGTAACTAAGTCATAGTGAGCTATGACCTACATTTGAAAAACTAAAGTTGGTGCTGATATCTCAAATTCTAGAAGAGTTGGAATACATTTCATATTTTTTTCGAAATCACTTTGAAAAACTGCCATGAGAATGTGAAATTCCTTATCGAATATTTCCATAAATGAAGAAGTTACGGAGGATACATGAAAATGATCAAGATCTGTTTTTTGCGTATAAAACAAAAACGAATAGATTTTATCAAAATATTTTTTCACATTATAGTTGGCCTTGACAAATTCCACATTTGGTGTCATTTAACCGACCTCGTATCTCTCACCGAAGATACCCATGGTGAGCATGGTAAGTAAGACACACTGTATGTACTATTTCTATATGGCGCATCTCCTATACGATATCTTGACAAAAATGGGACCAAAATGAGAGGTACTTTTTGAATCTATAAGAACGGAAAGTGAAGGATGGAAACAGCCATATTGGTTTGACAAGTTTCTTATTATTTTTTTCCTACGTCGGCATCAACGCCTATGGTCGATTTCGTTACCGATAGAGACAGAAGTTGGTCCCGCTTTGAGGACAGCTATGATTCATATATGAGTAGTAGATATATGGCCGAAAGTGGTTCATATGCCGATAAATATAAGTAGGCATGTTGCCGAAACGTATCAAACGACGCTGCATAGATCGGGATTGCAGCATCGAAACCGAGAGCTCAGATTTGCTTGAAATACCAAAAGAAGGCTCTAGACACATTGCCGAAAGTAGTATTGAAAAAATTCATGGAAAAAGATCTTCATGAAGGAAAATCGACTTGTATTCCATCATAGTTTTATCTCATATCACTACTACTACTCATTTATGAAGCATGGTTGTCCTCAAAGCGGTACCAACTTCTGTCTCTATAGGTAACGAAGTCGACCAATAGGCGCTGGTGCCGACGTAGGGAAAAAATAATACGAAACTTGTCCAATGAATATTGCTGTTTCCACCCTTCACTTTCCGTCCTTATAGATTCAAAAAGTCCCATTTTTGTCGAGATATCGTATAGGCGATGGGCCATATATAGAAATAGTACATATATGGTTGATCTTTAATAGCGAATTCCATTTGTAAACCTGGTGGTGCACTGGTTTTACATCAGTTTTGCACCCGCACTACATCAGTTCTCTCCAAAATGTGAACTGGTGCATTCCCAATGGAATACGAAATAATATAATGATAAAATTATTGTTGTAGGTTGAATCGGATTAGTTGGTTTGTCTTTGTTTATAACTTCTCCGCATCCTGAAATTATTTCTTTATTTCAATTAAAAACAAAGTAGATGTTTCATGGAAATAATGTTGAGCAGTTTTTTTTTTTTTTCATCATTGAATTCGCAAAATACTTTCAACAAAATTATGAATTCTGGGAAGTTATCTCCTTCATTTTCTTGAAACCTCCAACTTTTCATCACTATTTGATGACGATGATTGGATTGCCACTAACAATTTGGTTTTAAAACTATTCATATTCAATGTTTCCGCCATTTTCAAACTGCACTGACTTCGCACGACCTATTAGAGCTCGTGCGAGAATTGTTGCACTGAGCTCTAAACTATGTGAACCAGTTTTCCAATGGAATTCAAAACCCGACACCAGTTTTACCAATGGAATACAAAATATGCACTCAGTGCGAGCCAGTTTTACCAATGGAATTCACTATAAGAGGAAAGAATTGATTGATTGATTGTTTGTTTGTATGTATTGAATAGGCTCCGAAACTACTGGATCGATTTGGCTGAAAATTGGTGGAGAGGTAGCTTAGAACCAGGAGAAGGTTATGGGATACTTTGTATCCCAGTACCATTAGGATATTCAAGATGGCGGATCTAATATATCGGACGAGTTTTGTAATTGTGGTCCGATTCTATTCCAAATTGGTATCTTGTGGGTTTTCGGGGTCGGAGACTATGATTCTTTTGAAATGGCGGAACCAATATGGCGCCCGAGTTTTGTAGTTATAATTCGATTCTTTTCAAAATTGGTACCTAGGGGTTTTCGTGATCGGGGATTATGATTCTTTCGTCAAAATGAAGAAATTCGAGATGGCGGATCCAAAATGACGGATTTTGTAATTAGCATCCGATTTTATTCAAATTTGGTATCTGGTGGTTTTTGGGGTCGGAAATCATGATTCTTTCGTCAAAATTCGAGATGGCGGACGAGTATTGTAATTATGATTCGACTCTCTTCAAAATTCGTAACTGGGTGTTTTCGGGGTCGGAGATTATGATTCTTTTGTCAAAATCTGGAAAGGGCGGGATTTGAAAATTCAAGACGGTGGAACCAATATACCGGATGAGTTATGTAATTATATACCGATTCTATTCAAAATTTGTAAGTGGGCGTTTTCGGGATCAAAAATTATGATCCCTTCGTCAAAATTACGGAATTCAAGATGGTAGATCCAATATTGTGGACGAGTTTTGTATTTATGTTCCGATTCTATTTAAAATTTTCAAGACTACGTTTGCGAGGTCTGCTAGTATCCTATAAAATAGCTTGAACATGACTGGTCAAATAATTTTTTCAATGTCAATCACCGATTTCTCATGATTTACTTTATCCCTTATAGGTACCAAGCTTGGATCATCGGGATCGTTGAAAAAGGCAACAGGACAGCTCGCATAATCGATAAGCCACGAGTCATTGAAGTGCCAGCAAAGGAATAAATATCAGAGTTATATTCTATGAGTGTAACGTAACTTTGACATAAACAGGCAGTTGAGAGTCCCAATTTAAAATTCCCCCACAGCTTATAGGATTATTTTCTAATTCCGAAACATGTCGTGTTTTTGTTTCAAATGTTATCAGTTCCATTAGACATTCTCCAAGTTCTGAGAGTGGTATCTTGTGTATTAAGATTTTTTTTAATTGTGAAAATATCTATGTTTAGATAAGTTTTGTTCTGCAGTTTATATTTTAGTAAGTAGAAGAGATGTTTGACGGTATTTTGTATAATAATTTTCCAATATAATTAATTAAGAATGAGTTTGTGTTTCTCATGAACAGGAGGAAATTATAACATGAAAAATAGAAACTGAACAACTGGAAATTTCTTGAGCCAATTTGAATTAACCAGTTTTTTTTCCTCCCTCATGACAATTTGAATTTATGAAATTTCACGAGCATAAATTCTGAAACAACAAAATGTATGGAGGTTACTGGAATTCGAAATATTTTTTTTTTCATGTTGACATGTAATTCGACACTTTTTAAAACTGATAGAAGTTTTGAAACATCTTTACATAACATGATTAAATCTTCATTTTAACACCAGTTATGTAATAAAAATATGGATGGATGAAGAAAATTGTGCATTTTGTGCTGCTCCTCATTTGGGAAATCCTTCAATTAAGATATCATATGAGTCTATTTTGTGAATTTCGTTGCTTATTTGTGACTATATTATTTGACGGATACTTCAAAGTGAAGGGCGAAGTCAACTAGCCGACTTGATTGAGTACATAATCGGTTGAACTCAACTAGAACTGGTCATTATTTCTATTCAACCGAAATTTTTCATCAAAATTAGAAAAAATATTGTAACTAGTTGGGAAACGCATTTTGTGTAACTGTGATTTGCTGGATTTCGGTTCGCTCGTCCCGCAAAATCCCATCGATGCACAAAATGACGCGTTGTAAATACCTATTGCACCTCTATGATTTACAATTAAAAACATTTCTTTGGTATACTGATTTGAACTCTTGTGAATTCACAGATTTTTCAATTACCATAGAAATTAGAAATAACTACTTTTAATTGTAATGGTTCATGGGTTCAAAATTTCTTCAAGGCTATAGGAAAAATTATCTTCCAAACTTATGAAGAAATAGTTATTTATTATACAGGGGAAAAAGTTGTTTTAGCTTCAGGTTGTGTTGTCTCCCGACGCGTAGCGGAGGGAGACAAAAAACCGTGAGCTAATGTATAGTACACTATTTTTTTTCTGTGCCAGGAAGAAGTACGAATCAATATTGTGAACTAATCACATTATATTGAAATCAGAAAATGATTGATGTGAAATTAGAAGTTTAGGAGTAACACCTGGATGCAGGATGGATCATTATCATTCTGCAGGCATCTTTAAGGTAAGCACTCACTTTTTTTTGCATAAAAAGTGGCATTTTATAACCTGTCAACAGAGATGCAATACCTTACTTTTTCTACAAGTAGCCTTTGACGCTTTCAAATTCCAGCACAAAGTTGACGTTTTCCCAGAAATGTCATTCTTTGACAGCATTTGCGCTCGTGAGCGGAAATATTGAAAAAACGCCCGCACATCTCTGTAACCTTTACTCATCTATTCTTGAAAACCCCCAATTCTTTATTCATGATGGAAAATAGTGACAGTGCATCATCAAACACACCTCCTGATGATATAGCAGAAAGCGCAAGAGTTTGAATCTCTTATACCGGAGAAATCATGGAAGAAATATGAATTACAATATGATACATTCATGAATTGGTGCCACTCCGAGATGGTGAATATGTATTCAGAAAACGTTTTACTGGCTTATTTTAGTAAAAAATCAAAGACTTTGAAGTCATCAACTCATTGGTCTATATATTCGATGGTACGTATACATGCTTGAATGTTAAAGATAATATCGGAATCAATAAGTATCTGAAACTTATCGCATTTCTCAAGAAACAATCTATTGAATATAAAGCGAGAAAAATTCAAAACATTCACCGCTGATATATACCAACAAATTTCTACAAGAAGCTCCCGATGAAGCATATCTGTTGACAAGGATGAATTATACTTTATATTTAAACTCTTTGTTGTCATCAGAAAGACAGTGTATCTTTATTTTATTGCATCAATGAGTAATGTTCAATTTATTTACAGAGTTTATCGTACTATGGCTCAGAGGTCTGAAGCTTATGTTGCCACGTTGGTGGTCCAGTTTCAATTCTCGGTAGGCCCGACATTTTTTTTTCTCGCTTGTCAGTTATTTCAATTTTTCTTTTTTTGTTTTCTTTGGACATATGGGATAATATGGATAAGAACTTTTTTCAGCTATTTCAATCGCTCATTCCTTCAGGGTAGTTATTTCCAAAAGCTGCGTTAGTAGAAAAAATCTTGTGTGTATTTCGAGCACAATGTGTTATTGCCGCTCTCCAAAGATTACCGCGCTCCGCTCCGCATCGCGCGGTAACTTTCTTTGTCGAGCGGCAATCTATCACTTTGCGCTCTAAATACACAAATAGCTATTTTTTCCGTCAACATGTCTTTCCCGCGCTCAATGAATAAATAATGACATTAACTTGTGGAAAAGTATCACTTTCCCCAGTAGTCGGAAATTGAGTAAAAGAGAATGCTTTTCAAAAAAATATATCAGGAATTTCAACAAAATAATATTTCAGTTTATTAATGAGAAACTGTTTATTCCTAAACATTCAATTTTACTGCATGCAGGGCATAATTAATTGACGTATCAGAGCTCCAGTGCCATGTGTTTGTAATAAAATTATACACCATACCATGTATAACTTCAGTCCTACAATTACCTGAAAAAAAAAAATCGAACTTGTGTATCAACCATTTTCCAAGGATCTTGAATAATTTGAACTTACCATTCTCTAAAATTAGTTGTACCTTGTGTGGTTCAATAAATTTCTCATACTGATGGGTTCCTTTAGGAACCAACCTCAAAATATTCTCTGCCATAAATATTCCTGCAAATTTGGACAATCTTGTTCTGTTTATGGTTGTTATGAATATTGAGCCTTTTGGTTTCAGGCATCTCAAACAAGCCTCTAGAAACTCATTCTTGTTAGAAACATGCTCTATGATTTCTGATGCAACTATGGCATCATATTTATCAGCATTTTCGGAAGCATGTTCCTCAACAGAGGTTGTTTGATAAGTTATGTTCAAGAAATGTTCTTCATTGTGTTTCTTTGCTAAATTAATTATTTCTGGATTGGCATCTATGCCAGTGACATTGCTGCCAAGTCTAGCTAATGGTTCTGATAGAATACCACCTGGAATCCAAATGTTTAAATCAAGTAGTTATCTTGCTCACTATTTGCTATTAGTGAAGATAATTCGGGAATATTCCCATTCCTAAAATATAGATAGGTGACACAATAAGTTAGCATTATTTTCAACTCTGAATTATTATGTTATATTTTCATATAAGAAGATATTCAGGAAAGAGTGGTATTTTGCTAGACTATTTCACGTTCACAAAGCATAAATAAGCATGTATTATAAATGATCAATTCATTCTGACAATACAGGTATAATTATTTTCAGTCAAACTGGCAGACTTTGTTTCACTACCCATGGTTACAATATTGAAAATACCAATGCTGATAGACCAATCTATATAAAATTATTGTCAGATTTGTCAGTGTGGAAATGCAAGATGTGTAGGGCCAATGGAAAATGTCTTTTTCATACAGGAAAGTACTACTTTCCTGTGTATTTTCAAATAATGTTTTTCAAAATGCATGTTTTCATTTACCTCCACATCCTACATCCAGGATGGAAATTCCAGCAAGTGGTAGAGGCCTTTTGACTCTTTCCAGGCTGTCTGTCCTTGTATTCATAATTGCATCTCTGAAAAAGGGTACTCTCAATTTATTCATTGAATGCAAAGGTTTCAGAGGTCCAAATTCATCCCACCATTCTGAAGTGAATTTTTGAAATTGTTCAATTTCTAGGTTGTCTATATTTTTGGCAGTAGTGGCTAAAAGACTGAGATGATATCTATATGTAATTCAATCATTTGCTACTGAGTAGTATTGCAAAGTATTACCGTTGATTCCACTTTTTCTTCAGGACTCCCTTCAACATTTTTGGAATTCTACAAAGTTAAATATAGAACTTGAAACCACATGAATAACCAATCAAAACATTGTAACAAGTAATTACTTTTGAGTTTTCAGAGTTATATTGATGGAGATTAGTTGTTGCTTTGGATATCAATTCTTCATAAATTTGAAAAAAAACGCCAAAAAATCTGGATTTTGGGTTAGGTATAATTCATTTGGAATTATACACAGCAGAAAAAAACGGCCACCCTGGAATTTTTCATAGTTTCTCTATAGTTAACTTACATTAATTAGGTAACTCAATAAATAGTTTATCAGCTATAATTTTTAATAAAAGGTTAGCCGTTTTTTTAAGCCAGTGGCAGTGATAGTATAACATCTAGGATTATGTTCATGGGAAATACTTTATAAAAATGTTATACTGTCCTTTTGGATACCAAATATTATCAGATCTTTGGTATATCACTCCAAGGAAACTGAAATATCATCCTGCATCAAAACACTTCCACTTCACTCACCTTCTATCCTATGTGCCTATAGCTAAAAACGCTCTTTGAGTACTTTCCTTATCTTATTAGGTCCCTAATTATTTTGCCAAAATAAATACTAATATTACTAATTACTTCTATCTTTAAATAATAATGTGTTAACCTTTTTTTCCAGAGCCAAAGTATTTAGATCTTTGGTAGTATAACCATTACCAATTTATTAATAAGATCTTCGGATAAATTAATCAATAACAAAAACCAACTTCTTTTTAATATTCTTCGATTTGAATTATATTTATTATTCTACATAATTAAATTATACATTATTCAAAACTCATTCAAAATAAATAAACAAATATAATCCTGACATCCTTACTACTGACTTGACAAGGCTGACATACATCAGATCAGTGACATCAGCCTTGAGTGACATCTTGTCATTCCTGTCCATCTTGACAATAATGACAATTGGAATTGGATTGGACAAGAAGAAGAAAGGCAAAAATAAAAAACTACTATCAACTATCAGGACTATTGCTAAATGTCATATATCGAAAATAAAATAATAACAATAATATCGATCCAGCCAACACATATCTGTGACATGATATCTCTGAGATGTCGCGTTTAGGTAACATTGCGATATCACAAACGTTCCATTGCTGCTATGTTCACACATCTGCGATATGACATCTCTGACATGTCGCGACGAGGCGTGGGCAACACTGCGATATATTATACAAATGTTATACTAAGATTGTTATACCATGTTTGAGGAAGCTCTTTTTTCATTCACTGTGGTTTCATCTCGCTTCACAAATCGTATAGTTTCATCGCAAAAACACATCGCTTTTCCAGCCCGAATAACATATCGCAAATACATTGCAAATATATCGCTCTGTTATATGTCATTGGACTTATCGCACCGACGTCGCTGGTCGCATGGTTGAAACTTGAGTGGGACAAAATAATACATGCCTGCTCTGACATCGCAGCGATGACTATGCGACATAGAATGCGATATCGCAGGTTACAATAATTGTTACATCGCTGCGATATCTCTGTGATTATATTTCATACTTTATGTTTACCTACACCTAAGGTATTTATGAATTTCATGAGAAAATGAATAGCCTGGGAGCCAGCAACCGTTTAGAGTTAGTCATTTCACAAAAGCTGAAAATTCTTCCTGAGCTTTATTTGGGATAACTAGTAAGGGAATCAGCCTCCAGCTGGCACACTTCCGGGGGGTGTAGTTGCAGCAGCGTCCCAAACACGTAAAATTATAATAAAAAAAAACTGATATCACAAAAGCTGAAACTTTGTTAACATGTTGATTATCATACAAATAGATCAAAAAACGTATCCAGCCGAACTTATACTGGGGGATTATGCTCCAGCTTTTCACGTAAAGAAGTTAAAAATATGCGCTGAGTAAACTAATACCGCAAAAGCTGAAATTTGGTGAACAAATAGTTAAATTAATAACATAAACGATGAGAACATCCAGCTTTACATTGGGTGGGGGAAAAGTGCCCAGCTGATGCAGTGAAATACGCTGCGCATGGATATCTCGGGCGCATCGTATCTTTGACTGCATCAGCTGGATACTTTGCCCTCACTAAAATGATGAGCTGGAGGTTTTTTTTGTTAACCCATTATTTCAACTATAGGTACACCAAATATCAGCTTTTGCGGTATCAGGTATCTATAGTTTTCTCAAACTCAGCGCACATGCATGCATTTATTTAATGATAAATACGTAGGTATTACATTTCTGATCTGAAGGAAGATAATTAAAAATAGGTTTACTATCAATTTTTTTTTTTCAGTATTCCTTCACAAAAAATATACTAACAATACAAATTAACAGACATAGTGAACTAGTGTGTGTAACAAAATCAGATATCAACAATGTTTTCAGATTTCGGATCCTTCGGAGAAACTCAAACCAGCGTTTTTCCGAATTTTCAATATTGGTATGCACTTAGTTATCTTATTTGCATCAAAAAGATTCAATTTTCCGCCTTTTTTGGAGCAAAATACACAAAAGGGATGTATGTTGGACATTGTCGCAGCTTCGATTGGAATATGTCATTTAGACAAATTTGTACACATCAAATGAACGCCGTTTCCAAGAGATTATAAAAATGATGAATTGACCTCTGATGCGATCACTGCACTCCCCTTCCCAGTAAACACAACACGTTTCAGAAACATTTCAAAAGTTCCCTAATACGTGTCATCTGAAACATTCCAATGTTAACATAAAGGAAACATTTCTGGAGTTCTCCATGCTATGTGAAATATTTCAGAAATATTTCAGAAATATGTCAATACATACGTCTCATATTCGTAACAAAAACTCTTTGCTTGGAATGTCTCATGTGAATCTCTAGATGTGTCATCTGAAACATTCCAATGTTAACATGAAGAAAAAATTTCTGAAGCTCTCCATGCTATGTGAAATATTTCAGAAATATGTCAATACATACGTTTCACATTCGTTACAAAAAATCTCTGCTTGAAATGTCTCATGTGAATCTCTAGACGCGTCATCTGAAACATTTCAATGTTAACATAAAGGAAAAATTTCTGAAGCTCTCCATGCTATGTGAAATATTTCAGAAATATGTCACTACATAACGTTTCATATTCGTTACAAAAATTCCCTACTTGAAATGTCTCACGTGAATCTCTAGACGTGTCATCTGAAACATCGCCATGTTTACGTATGTGAAATTGTTCTCAGTTGTTATGCGTGACGTGAAACATCTCTGGAATGTTTCATACATGTGTTTACTATTTGTTTGAAATGCATCATATTCGACGTTGCCAGGTTCATGATTCCGTTTTATTGGCTATATTGAATCACATGCTTGAGTGCGACCAATGAAGACGGGTGGTTACTCTGGCAACATCGGCATATGACAGTCCGAACCAAGCACGGCCGGCTCCGACTTGCTCCGACTGTCCAGTCCTAGAAGAGAGTGGGTGAACACAAAGACGAAGCCATTTTTTCTTTTGTTGTTCTAATTCCGGTGAAGCCATTTTTAGCGTCCATTGATATTGCCTGATGGTGGTAGTGCTAATGCTAAAAGTTAATATATAATGACAACTAGGAATATGAAAAAGGTGAGCGGGTTTACCTGTACATTCACTTGATATTCGATGCTTGATTGAATGGAATGAAAATCGGCCCAAAATTGAATACATAGAAGGTAGGGCGGTAGTGGCAAAAATAACCTCAACTTCCTTGTACATTGTTATGCCGGTCTCTTGATGTAATAATATGAAATTTCAGGTTATTTTGCATAGAAAGGCGGTTGAAATTCAATAAATTCAAATAAATCTCAAAAATTTTTCAGGTGCTGCCAGAAAAAGGTTTTCTGTGACGGACGTGGAGTTCGAAAGATATGTAGCAGCATGGTTCCGCCAATCTGGTCTCAGGTTAGCTAGAGAAAGGGAAAATATGAAATGAAATGTTTTTTTATCATAATTTAATGAGTTTTCATAATATAAAATCCACTAAAGCTGCAGTTTTATTTTATTCACTCTGCTTTTTTCTCCATATACCTATATTAATACCAATTGACTACATTACACATGATGTTAATTAGGGTTCACTTTTATTATGAGTAAGTGATTAACTTCTGTGGTAATGTAGTCTTGGTATGAACTAAAAATGGTTTCATATTTGAAATATTCCATTATCAGCAAAAGTGAGATGTATCGGAAATGTTTCGAAAAAGTCATGTTGGAAATGTTTCGAAGACACTATTTGTGAAACGTTTCATGAAATCAATAGTGAAATATCTCAGAGATGTTTATGTATACTCTTTATTGAATGTTTCATGGAGATTTGGGTTGAAACATTCCAATGAAACATTACACACCCTAGGTCATTTATGGTCTCTAGAATGTCTCATAAATGTTTCGGAGTATATAGGTGAAATGTTTCATATTTCACAAAGTTTGTTTCAGGAACGTTTCAGAAACACAAAATGGTTTACTGGGTTGGCTAAATATATCAGATGATCACAATTTTTTTGCAGTTTCATTTTGAATTTATCTGTGTGGCCAAATTAGTCGGAACATAAATATTTTTTTCATTATGAATATACCACAAAATACTTCTGCTATTTTTGCAAGCATGTTTTTTCAGTGTAGGTAACAAATTTTGAGCCACCGAACATCAGAACATCTCTGATTCTGAGCAGAGGCGCCAAATTCTAGTAGGAGTTGGCCGAGAGAGGGCAGTGTCGGTTCACACCTGTCCATCAGCACATATTCGATGATAAATCTGTGGATTCTGCCAGCGCATTTGATGCATGGACAGCGCGCTGTGTTTAATGAGAGAAGTATAGATACCTGATACCGCAAAAGCTGATATTTGGTGTACCTATAGTTGAAATAATGGGTTAAACAAAAAAAAATCCCGCTCATCATTTAGTGAGGGCAAAGTGTCCAGCTGATGCAGTCAAAGATACGATGCGCCCGAGATATCCATGCGCAGCGTATTTCACTGCATCAGCTGGGCACTTTTCCCCCACCCAATGTAAAGCTGGATGTTCTCATCGTTTATGTTATTAATTTAACTATTTGTTCACCAAATTTCAGCTTTTGCGGTATTAGTTTACTCAGCGCATATTTTTAACTTCTTTACGTGAAAAGCTGGAGCATAATCCCCCAGTATAAGTTCGGCTGGATACGTTTTTTGATCTATTTGTATGATAATCAACATGTTAACAAAGTTTCAGCTTTTGTGATATCAGTTTTTTTTTATTATAATTTTACGTGTTTGGGAACGCTGCTGCAACTACACCCCCCGGAAGTGCGCCAGCTGGAGGCCGATTTCCTTACTAGTGATACTAAATGAAGCTCAGAAAACATTTTCAGCTTTTGTGCTTTTGGTCATTGAAAAAGGTCGCTGGCTTCCGGGCTAGAAGGGAAGATGCGTAGAGCACATTCACTGCTTCAGTAAACCAGAGATAATAATCTCTGAGTAAACTGTGCCTAGAGACTGATATGTGGCAAGTCCCCTATTCTAGATTGTGCCCAAAACCTGTACGATGAAATCGGCAAACAGCCAACTTGATGGCAAGTGATAAGAATACATCCTGAAACCGCCACGGGTAGCGCTGATCTTCATAACTAGCGCACACTGTTCGTGGCTATTGTGCTATCGTTTCGAAAAATAAGCCAATAGCACCACCGAGAAAAATCTGCAAGTCCTTTTACCTTCCTAAATTCGCAATTTTTCAGAATTAAAAGACCAGATATTTGATTACTTCAAGAGAGAATGACATACTTACATGCCTGCAACGCAGGTGTAATTTATGTTAATAATTCGAAATTTCACGTCGATAATTTTCTGATTTTAATATATATAATGTGATATATTCTCAATATTAATTCATCCATTTTCCTGTCACAGAAATAAATAGTGTATTATACACGAAAAAATATTAGATTTTAGCTCACGGTTGTTTGTCTCCCTCCGCTACGCGTCAGAAGACAACACATAACTTGGAACTAAAATCTACAACTCTTTTTCCTTGTATAATGAAAAACTATTTTGTTTTCTAGCTTCAACACCATGTTTTTTATGACAGCATTCATGATACCAGAAATTAAGATCACCTATGTGTTCCCACACACAAAACTACGAAACTGGAGAATATTTGTTTAAGATATATATGGAATAAAAATGAACAGTAAACTTCCACTAAATATACTAGAAGAGTATAGACATCGTTCAGTGGTTTCAAAAAGACAATAAAATTTATGATGACTAATAAATGTTACTATAGTGTGAAGAAATACCTCCAGGATAGCTTGTTTCATTAGTGTCACCTGTTCTTTTGTTATATAATTTTTTTTAATATGTGTTTATTTTTAGATAATTCTAAACACACTTCTTAGAGTACTATACATTCTTGTGTCACAATGGATAAATAAATATTTCAATTTCTATTCATAAGATCTTGCAGGCTGCTACCACCTGTGAAAATATCGCATCATCCTGCGACCAATTGAACGTTTTTGGCTAAAGTTCCTAATTTTCGAATGAATTCGACAATGATTCGAGACATTTGGACGGACACTTTTTCTGGTGCTTAGGTACATATTATTAACAATATTTCACTCGAAAAAGCCCTAGTGTTTTCTATATTTTCTCATTAGAAGAAAGATCCTTTATCTTCTGGATACAAAAAATAAATATTCACGTCTCCTTTTCCCGTTTGAACGGTTTCAGTATGCTTTATCAAGAATATAGCAGCAATTCCATATGCGAGGCATGGTAAACCTGAAAATGATAATTATAATAATTTTTTGTAAATATTGACCATATATTCATGAAAACCAACTATAAGTGCAGTGATATTTTATGTATGGAAAACAACCTGTTCTCAAGATATGATAATTGGAATCACAAACTTTCCAGTTGAAGTGAGACTTTCCCCATTGGTCATCTCTCACATCAGAATACTGAAACATTTATAAATGTATTTCATTTTTCCTACTGCGAACTATAATTCAGTTGCGAAATATCTACTGACTTTTACAAAGTATGATGTCCATGGAGGTTCATGACATTGTTTAATATAACTTGTTAATACTTCAGATGATGTTGGTTTTGACATATTGTATTGATTGTAAAAAATATTTCTGATGACCATTGATGATTTATTAATATTCATATTGGTATAAGGATGTTTTTCTCTGAAAATAAAATAGGTATCAATAATACTTATATGGTATATATATACCGAGTGGTATACAGTCTACTATTGAACATTCCCAAAATATTAGATTTTTTTTTCAACTCCTCGAAATTAACGAGAAATTCCATCTTGGAAATCAAACAAATAATTGAAAAAAAAAAAAAAAGGATACGCCACTTCAAAACAATTTGAATAATCGAATTGCGCACGTGGCGCGATCCCACTCTACCTAGTAGGGGTGGGCAAATTTATCGATATATCGATAATTACTTACTTTACTTATTTACTCTTTTCGTTCTAAATGTATTTTTGTCTTTGTTTATCTTATGAAGTAGAAATATGTTGAATATACTCTGAGTGCGCTCTGATATTAACAATGGAAATTGCTATATAAATTATTGAATTCTCAATCGAGAAATACTACAAAAATGCACATTTCTCAAACTTATAGGTGTATAAATGTGTATCTTTCGAAACTGGGCATGTCATTGTATCTTGCGTCGTGTATCCTTTGGTAAATAGCAAGATCATAGGGAAACAAATGAGTTTATGGCAACACTGCAGGACTGTTCCTGACCGAAATTATTTAGTACTAGATCACATTTTGAAAAAGCAATTTTCTTCAAATTTGCCGCCCCTGAGGTGCTCGCATAGTTTCATCACCATAGTATCATTCACAAATTCAAGTCACCACAAAAACTGATAAAAGTGGAATGATTTTAACATTGAAAATATCGAAATGAAATATGGAATTCAATCAATAGTACCTAATTCAAATATTTTCAAAATGGTAGAAATGTACCGCTAATGAGAAAAATGAACTGGAACGAAGGCTAACGTTATTTAAGTGTCGAAACGTGAGGACAGGGTTGGTAGAACTGATGAATAAACTTCTTTTTCGTGTACGTAAAAAACGTAAGTCGGCTCAAGTCTTCTGATAACATGAGGTTTTATGTTATTGTTCTAATATTCTACATAATATTTTTTGAAAAATTTCGATGAAACAGGCTATAGTCTTCAAGGATATACGGCAAAATTTTTAGATTTCTAACTTTGAGTGAGAGTGAAAATGTTAGCCTTCATTGATTTTCATCCACTTGGTGAACAATGTGAACTCAAGGATCTCAAAACTCATTTAGTACTGGATTTAGAGTACTTTGGTACTGAACATCTTCGAATAGTACTAAATCTAGTACTGAAGTACTGACTGGAACAGCACTGAAACACATTAGTGAGCACTGAGCTGTAAACTAGGAGAAGATAGAGATCCTTGAGTTTGACTTTGAGTAGTGAGTACTTGAAGATATCACGATCGGAATCCACCTTTCTGCAGACAGTGTCAACACTCGCAAGTTGCAACTATGGCTATATTCCGAATTCAACTGGTCAGTACTGTCAGTTGATCCACTGACTCTGTCAACCACCTGTCAACGAGTGTCAACCAACCCAATATGAACAGGGTGTTTCCAGAGAAAAAATGTTGAGTTCTTGAGTTTATTATACAGAAAAATTAATTTGAGAATAATGAACTGAAAAATAATATTTTAGAACCTGATCTGATTGATAGCGTATTATAAAGGATTCACTGTTAATAACGGACCTGTTCATAAACTTGAATGTGAAATGTGTAGAGTGTAGGTGTATAAAATTATAACACAGAATTCGATGGATATTCTATGAAAACTTGAGTGAAATGGATAAACAATTGGAACACGATCTTCTAATCCCTATCTCTTCAGGTATGTAACATTTTTACTTACCTAATTGATATTGTTTTTTTCGTATATGGAGGTATATCACAGCATATACATATTTTATCCTGGACTACTACACTACACTATGCACTATGCTATTTATTAGAGGGACGTGGTACTTGATGTTTCTCGTAATTCAATAATAATTGTACTTGATTACCAACATCTTGATTCTCGTTCTCCAATTCTTGAATTCTTCAATAATTTTGAGAGATTATTCTATTGTCCCAGCAATGATGGAAGTAAGAACTGGTGCGCTCGCTCCCTATTGAAGGTCGTTTGCAAGTTTCTCGATGGCGCCTACTCTGATAAACCTTTAATAAACAAACTGGACGTGGGTAAATCTCGCTAAGCTCATCCTGGTTACAATCCATATTTACAGGAAACATATTACCGACCGATAAATATTTGGATACGTATATGATTTGGATCAGGACAGTGAACTGATTTCTGATCAAAGGATCGAAACGTCAATAATGTCATCAAAAATATTCTTGAGCTGTAATAAACACGCTGAAAAAATGGTTATTTTTGAGATTGTGGTCAAGTTTTCGTTAGGGATGTGTTTCATAGTGTCTAAATTTTGTGTATAATACCTAATTCACCATAGAAAAAAGAAAATCTCTGTTCTACAACAGTATTATTTCAGTGATTTGAAATATTAGCGTGAACTGGTGTGAATAAATTCTAAGGTGAGTACCAGTTACCATAATCTGTCTATTATGATTTTCGATATTGGTCTATTTCAATAGTTGATACATTCTTTGTTCTGGTTCTTCAGAGGAAATTCATCAGATTTCATGCTTTAAATAGGTTCATGTCATGAAAGAAGTGAAGCTTATTAAAATCGGCTACAATAAAAGCTTTCTTGCTTCTATTTCAGATTGAAATTTGAATGAAAATGTTGAGCACAGTATTTATTTATAAAATAATCACCAATTAGTGGCATCTTTCTAAAAGTATGTACTTCAATGTTGAATGATATCTTATAATGTCTAGTTATTTGTTCTTCATGTGTTATTGAGATTAAAGATGTATTTTACTTCTCATCAAAACAGAAAAAAATCAATATCCAATGTCCTACATATTATATCTGTCTGCAAAATCAATATCATAATCACATTTGACTCACTGTTATAATAATTATGTTTATCAAGATCAACTCCAAAAACTATTCCTGATTTACAGGTACCTAGTAGGGTTTAGGCTTGGGTTCAGGTCAGGTGAGGAATGTCCTACCTGTCCTACTATATAATGAAAACCAGAGGCAAGATAAAGTTTACCACCTGGCACCTAGCAATGTTGGACCCAAGGATTATGTAGTTGTATAATCCTTGTATTAGACCTACTATAATCCATTAAGTGGTGAGTCTCAAAATAAAAACAGAATTAGGAGGAATAGATACAGTCCCAGAAACAAAGACATAGGTAGTGTTAACAAACATTTATTCAGAATATCTAGATATCTATGTTGAAAGATGAGCTGTACAAATCCATATTCAAATACATTTTTTGGCAACCTACCTAGGTAATTGACAATGTCTTGAGTGAAGAGAGTTGGTTCATACTACCATTATCTTAAAAATGATATTGAAACTAATTGTATAAGAAGAAAAGTGAATGGAGTGAAAATAGAAATATGCACGAGAGGGATGAAACATAATTTTCTTCTCAATTTTTTCTTGTTCTACAACTATTCTTCCCCTCTCATGTTTCTAATTTCATTTTCTTTTCATTAAAAATATTTTTGTTATCCATTTGTAGACAATGGAAGTCCAAAAAGGCCTTGAAAAAGACTCTTTCCAATTACATTCTAATTCAAATAGCATTAATTAATGATAAATTAAGAAATTAGCCATAGTTAGGTACTCAATTAATTTAATTCTTATACAGTGTGTCCATAATAAGGACTTACCACCCCTGTAAAATCATCATAATCTGTCGATTTTGAAATTCTTTTTTTTTTGTTGGATAGGTATTTGAAATGTCCATCCACTAAGACAGTGATTTTATTCTTGGACTATTGTCATAGTGACCAATTTTATTGAACTAAATTTCAGGAAGTACTATTTGGGACTTTTTTCACAAAAAATAATCTTGGATTCTGAATCAGGATCACTTGAAACGTACCTTTACCGATTTTTATCATCATAAAACACAAGGTGTCCGCAAAAAGAAATTATCATTATTTTTTCAATATGCTTGTGAAGCTTGTGCATATTTTCAAAAAAATATTATACATTGATTATATTCCACTATTTTGTGTGTATTCCACTTTCAGTGATATCAGCTTTCTTTTTGATTTTCTGACTAAAGAAAATAAGGAAATTCCAACTAGATCAGATCAACTATAGAACTATAGAACATTATATAGGTATTAAAATAAACTGTTATAGCAGCAATTATCAGATGCAGATCAAATAAAACTTCTAATTCTTTGGGTTAGTGGAACTAATTTTTATCAGAGTTCAGGCATCTATTTCTCCACTACAGCTCAAGTTTCAGTGCTTTACTGAGTTGAGGATATTATATTTTTACCATTAAGTCATTTTTCTAGAAAAAAATGTGGGATAGCTTTTAATATCTATGGTAAAAAGGAAAATTCTCAGATATATCATGAATATGAAAAAAATTTATATATATATTTTCAAAGAAATATATTGAGAATTCACATTCTCTTTGCAATGAATATATCAACTCTTTATGGGTTTATTCAACAGAAAACAACTACTTTCCTGGCTACTTGCCATGACGAACATTGAATTATATCTATTGAACACACATGATAATAATCTGAAAATAAAATAAAAAGGTTTTGTGGATGAGAAGAAAGTTGATCTTTAGGCGCTAATAAAATATTGTTTAATAATCCAAAAATATAAAGATCATTTTTCAAATATGCATCAGGGTTACAAAAGTTTTTATTTTCCCTAATTCTAGTGCCTCCATTTCAAGAAATAAAGAAATGAGTAGGAGGAAATTCCTTATTTGTTTTGAATTCAAATTGAGTTGCTGTGCTTCACTTTTCAACGTGCCATTTCAGTTTTTGAGGGGCTCCCTGAGCCTAATTTCTTCAGAACTGTCCCTTCTTTGTTTCCACATGAAAATCAGTGATCCTCATCTTTCTAAATTCAATTATCATTTATAACATTTGTTATTTTGTTTGTTTGTATCTATTATCAAGGTTCAACCAATGAAATTCAATCCCCAAATATTCTGAAA